CTGCTAGTCGGCGGTGTAAACTTTTATTTTCTAGTGACGATTACACGTTACTGACCGCGGCGACTAAAAAAGAGGTTGGAGGACGTTGAATGGCAAGCACTTTTACTTTGTTTCCATTCATTACAGAAAAAGTTACATTTAATCTAACTCTATCCGAAACGGACCAAAACCGTGCACAATGTATTATACATCCGTATAGCGTGCAGTTTCAATTGAATCGTGTACAAAGCTACACTTTGTGCAATCCTGTGTATGTTTCTGTTAAAAGATGTGGAAAGCACCTATTAATTAAGTGAATGTATATTTTTCAATTTTAAAGTCCGGTTTCAAGTAGAACGCAAAAGTCATAATAGCTACAACGTTCAGCAGAAAAAGTAGCTTTGAAACTGTTGTAAAATTCTTTAATATGATTTTGCGTTGCTACTTAGTTTCTACTGGATCTAAATGTACAAACAAATGTATTATAAACAAATTGAAGAATCTTAAGGCGGCACACGATGTTTCTTTTCTGCTGGATTTCTAACTGGATTTGCGTTTTGTTATCGGCTGCGATGCTAGCATTGGTAACATCGTGTGCTGGCTTTACAATAATTGCGGAGCTGCTTTTTCTGCTGAATGCAGCCAATATCATAAGGGACACCATCACGATCTTATTTGTCATTTATAAATTCAATCGTAAGTATCAAATGACGTCATGATAGCATCCTATGATATCATTACGACTTAATTGCTCCTATTCGTTTCTAACAATGTAAATTAACTTTAATCTCGGTTCAATTTGCGCTTTATCTTTGTCTAATTACTCTTCATTTTTTCTTAATTTTTAGAAAAAGATGAAACGTTAGTTCAACTGAGATTAAAATTAAACTACACATAGAAACGGGCATTTGTGTTCTACCTGAGGTTCCGCCCACATTATAAGATTAATTTTAATTTCAATTCAATTTACTCTTTATCTTCTTCTAATTCTAAGAATTAAGAAAAATTGAATAGTAAGTTAAGCCGAGATTAAAATTAATCTTACATTGATGGAACCGGGTTTAAGAATTAATGACATTTCGACGAATTTCGACTAACTTTGATTAATTCGATCGGTAGAATCATTTAAAACATCTCTAATACACAATTGTTCTTAATCTTTTTTCGATATATCAAACACAATTCTATTAATTAATTTGATAATTTTATTCGTATTACTATTACTTAATAATAATGCTGATTAAATTTATCGGAGTTGATCGAAATGGTCTTTAGAATAAAAATAAAGAGTAAATTAAACCGAGATTAAAGTTAATCTATATTAGTAGAAATATTATTGTTTTACGATTCCGATCTCATTTTAATCGATACAAGGTATTTCTCCGTCCGAAAAGTTTGAAATACCACACTGAAAAAAAAGATTAACTGCTGCAGCAAATTAGATGGTAAAATATGGCATAGCATTTTTAATTGGCTGCAGCAGCCAATCTTTTTTTTCAGTGCATATGCGGCGAACTTCACGCGAATACGCAATAAGTATATCGTCTAGTTTCATTCGCCTGTGTCGCGAGGGATACCAACCGCGAGCGACGCTCGGTCGCCCTGTGAATTTTTTGCTGCATAGTTGCCATAGATTTCAAATTTCGTCAAGTCGCATTATGCTCAAGTACGCCTAAACGTCGCGAGCAAGTGAGTGGCCGAAAGAGTGTCGTGAAGAGTGACGGGAGAGTGCCGGATCACTAACGTAATTAACCCGCAAATCCGAGCGATCGCGATCTTTCCAACGCGACGTGAGTGAGAAATGCGTGCGTGAGTGAGAAATTCGGTGAAGCGAGTATGAATATGCACTTGCGATGCCAACGGCTCCGTAATCAAGCATCTTGAAGTATGGAGGAATTAGGATCGCGGCGCATCCCGAGGAAGGAATTCGGCGTATCCGGAAGCGACGGCGGCAGCGACGCGGGCGATCGGACGGTGAGTGAAATATCATATTACATTCGCGTGAGACTAATTACCCGACCTCGTCTCGTTCGCGGCGACCCGGCCGGCGTCGTTGCGTCACAAGGATCAGCACTCCCTCGTGCCACGATGGCGAAACGTCGCACGCAGATTTTCCATCGAACTGAGATGCAATCGGGGTCGGGTAATGGCGATCTACGAATAGATCCATGAAAGCCGTAACTCCCGCTAAGAATAGGCGGGGCGTCCGAAATTTTCGAAGGACACGGCCGGCCTTTAGGTCCGCCCTGCGAGCCCGGACCGCCGGAGTCGCATATTTTAGTTAAGTCGAACAAAATAGTCGTCCCGGACCGATTCTCGCGCGGATTAGAGACGGTAGAGAAGTCGAGGTCGCCCTTGACGTAAGCGGCCTATACCGCGTGTAGATATACACAAATACGCTGACGCCTTTTCGCGTATCGCATTCCAAGAATTATAAGTGCGACACGCCGCGCCGGCCGCGCAGGATATCGCGAGGCGAGCGAGTGGCGCGTTCATAGATTTAGCTCCGAGTATATTAGTCGCGATCGGTCGCGATCGAGAGCCAACGGAAATCGTTCACCTCGCGCACCGGCTTATTGAATTTATTAGCGGCGCCGATCGCGATCTTTGTCGATGCAAATGCTCGGCGTCGCCGCATAGCAAACTTGGCTCGCGATTAAACAAGGCGGTAACAAGTGGGTGTTATAGCGCGCTCGGGATATTTTTACGCTTTTTAAGGCTAACGCCGATGCAATCTTTGCTACGTTTATTTCACTTAATATTCAGGTATTTGAACGTAAAACGACGTTTGAACTAAATACATAACGTACGGATTTAAAACTGCGTTGCAATCGGTATTTTTCTTTCCCCCTTTTTTTTTCCTCTCCCCGCGTAACTCATTACATCGCTATGCAGAAAGTAACTCGTATCGTACGTATACGAGTGCATCGGATACGTCAAATAAATCCGTCCGAAATAAAAGCGATACATCCGCTTAGGCGTAGGCGATACGTGTCTGTGTGCGCTATTTGGGTCGAATTCTTCCTCCCAATATCGGTGTAGCAGCGCGTCAATTCGGTCTTGCAATAAGCGGTCTCTACATCTCCCGACCTTGACATCGACCGTTGTAGCTACGCAGTTGCAACCAAGTGCATCACCGATATCTGCCACCTACCAGAGCGGCTGCGAATACACGTTTTGATGATTTGACAGCATAAACATTTCAGCATAATAGCACCAAATTCGTCGGAGTATCTCATTATTAGTTGGTGCTTTCCAGCGAGAGATACGGTGTCACGCAGTGATCGTTTCATTTTTAACATCGGCAAATAACAAGGCTACAATGATTCATTGTGTTATTATCTGTGTCTCTCGTTGGAAAGTATCTATTTTCAGTTAACGTGCGGCAGAACGATATACCGCATGGAAAAACCTAAGGCATTCGAGCTGGTTGTTAAATTTACAATCTCAAATTACATCCAATTTGAGTTATTTTTGGTCATTCCTATTATAGATCGAGTCTGCTCCTATATCAACGTGTCGTTGATTTAATTAAAACGATGGACTTAATTAAGCAATGCAATTCAAGAAATGTATTTTTAATTCAGTGACTCAAATTTAGTTTACTATTTACTAAGTGCGTACGTTGATATAATTGCTGTTTGTTTTGAAACTAACAATAAGCAACGATTCAACTACAAAAATGACTTTTGTTTTTTTAACGTATACTTTGTATTAAAATAATATACTTTGAAATACTGGAAAGTTAAAAATAACGCAAGGTTATTTAACTCAAAGAATTGGTTTATATTTGATCCTTTAATATTTAACAGTATTAGAACGTCGAAACTTTTTGCAGCATCGCTCATCATGCTTGAGCATCCTATAATTATTTCGACGATCCAATAAAATTATTTTCAGATCTGTTGTATCTAGCTGAATTTTTAGATGCTTGGCAAAATTGTTCTTTCCGTGTTACAGTTCTGTTCAATTACTATAACGGCGGTATATAAAGCAACGCCATGCGATCTATCCATATTTTACAGAAACGTGGTCGATGACGAATCCCGACGTCCACCGCGCCGCACACCCGCGACAATCGGTTGCTACTTTCGCAAATGACGGTGCATCGACGCCGACGCGAGACGATCTTTATAGATACCATCGGCCTTGTCCTTGACATCGACCGCAGCGTCCCGACGCTACGCGCAGACGGCCCGTAGTTGCATCGAGATATCCGATACAGCGAAAAACTTATCCGTGAAGAGGTTTACCTCTTCCATCGGATGAGAGGTATTTAAAGAGAATTTAAGGGACGCGATCTGTATCAGTGGACGAATGGGTGGTAGATTTATACGTAGAATATTTCGTAAGATTACATAAAACATACATTTTGGAAGCTTATTCTCCAAGCACGTGAGATGTAACAAACGTAACAAATGACAGTTTCGTTCGTGGTCTATAAATGACCTTTCACCATTATTTCTTCATGCGTTAGAATGCAATTTAGAGCCTGCGACTGTTACAACTATGTGTTCTGTCATTTCATTGTGAAAGTCTCGGGGTTATTTCTGTATCTGCATCGATATTATGCACAAAACAAAATTGCCCAAAATAAAACAAGGACAAGTTCGACTAATCTCGTACAACGTGAATAAGATCATATTCCACTACTATTTATTAATACAGTAGATTCTGCGTCGGTTGACTGGCGGACAAAATTGGACGTCTATGTGTAAACAATATCTAAGTGTAGGCTTCGTTACTTATCTCTTTACCAGTAATTCAATACACGTTCTCTGCATCAATATTTATTTAAACTTCGTTTCTCCAATTTATGAAAGAAATATAAAATCGATGGACTAATTTAGAATGAGAAGAAATTCAAAATTCTCAAATGTGTATTACAATATTTATTTACATATCTTATAACTTATCTGATATAAGATATGTATACTTACATATCTTATAATTTTGAATTACACAAATAAATGTATAGTTTTTATAAATTAAAAATGTTTTATAATGTGAAAATGAAGAAATTATTTACTTTTCCTCTTCATATTTTTAGGCTGTACCCTCAGTTTTTTGCCTCGATTATTGCCTCGCGTTTTCTTTCCACGTCCTTTAGTTTTTTCCTTCGCTTTTGCCGCGCGTAAATCTTTCTTCATCCTCGGATCGACTACTTTATATCGACTTTTCACACTAGGAGGCCGAACGGCTCGCTTTTGCGCGGTATGTTTCTTTGCTACGACATACGTAACTTCCTTTTTTGGCTCCTGGCGAGCTTTCTTGTACAACCTTAAATCAAATCAAAGATCGAATTAGGATAGAGTAGATTCATCAGATTAGACGTTCTACAAAAAAATCGAACTTACGCTTTAACTTGTCTGGCCTTCTCCCTGTCGCTAATATCTACGTTATCCATCAACGCTTCTACCTTCTTTTTTGCCTTCTCAAGTTTGCGAATTGCGCGTCTCTTTTTTCTTGCTTTAGCTTCCATTACTTTCTTAATAGGTCTTATATTCAAGTCCTCCACTCTCTTTTTATAATCATCGACAAGTTCTTTAGGTACTGGCACTTCTTTTTTCATATGTTTTTCTTCATCCTTTACAAACCAATCGGGTAATTTCTCGTCGTTAAACACATATCTATTCCAAGCTGAATCAATCAAGTCTCTTCGAGATTTTTTACTTTGATTTAGCAACGATCCGAGTGCTAAATCTTCGGAAGTCAGTTTTTTTTTCTTTGACTTTTTATCTGATTAATTATGAATAAACATGTATGTTAATAATAATAAATTATATAACTAACTGTCAGTAATTATTAATTATCTCAATCAGTAAAATATGTACACTGAGAAAAAAATTGTTCATTTGACTTAATCGTTTAGTTGACTAAATTAATAGTTGTTTTTCATTGAAGAATATATGTATTTTAAGTCCGATTGCATCAACATTACTTTTAAGTGAGGCTTAAACCCCCCTCTCTCTCTCTCTCTCTCTCTCTCTCTCTCTCTCTCTCTCTTTCTTTTTAAAGAGAGAAAGGGAGGGGGGAGTTTTAAGTTTCGCTTAAAGTAAAAGAAACGTTTCAAACGGTACAATTGGGCCTAAATCAAATATAATATATTTGACTTAAATACATTTTTCACCGAAAGAATTAAAGATAAACTAAATTAATTTAGTCAAACAATTTTTTATCAGTGTAACTAGACAAAAACTTCTTTACCTGTTTCTTGTGGCACTATCTCAAAACCATCCTTTCCACCGATCTTTTTCAATTTTTTATTAGGAGCCATCATTTCTTCCATGTCATAGTCTGAATTAGTATCATCATTTTCACTGATTTTGCGTTTTCGTTTCTTTTCTTCATCCACTTTTGCTTGCATTTTCTTCCCTTCTCCGAGGACATGTCCACCTTTCTTCTTGTACTGTTCTATCATTTTATCTAATTCATAATCTGCATCGTCTTCGTTCTCTAAGTTTTTAAATGCATCTTTCTCAAACCAGAGTGCTGCTTTATGTGCTCTTTTGGTTTCTTTATCCCGAAAATCTAAATCAGTTAACAACGGATTGCTTTCAGGATCTTTAAATTGTTGTTTTTTCTGCGGTTTATTAGTAATTTCGTCTTCTGATTCGTCCAAACCTATATTGTGATAATAACTTTATATAATTTGTTACAAATTTAAAAAATAAGTAAAAAACAAGATATAAATCTTTCAATTAAAAGAGAAAGTTATTTTAATAATAACATTGAGAAATTAACGTTAATATATATATTTTATATGTAATACCTAATCCCGATTTTTCGCTCTCATCGTCTGATGAATCGGTATCGCTTTCTTCGCTATCTTCTGATTTATAATACAAACCCTTGTTGTCCAAATAACCTGTATCTTTCTCGTAATAAATCGTTTTCGGTTTGACTTCCTCGTCCGAGTCCACATCGCTCTCTGCTAAGATATCAGGCGTCTGATCTGTGGCTTGTTCTAATTGTTGATAGGTTTGAATCTGGTTTAAGTTAAACAAATCATCTCTTTCCAATTTAGGTCCCTCGTCGCTCTTGTGAATCATTTTCAAATTGAGACGTTCGTTTAACTTCTGCCTTTCTTTATTAGCTTGCTTTTTCTTGCGTTTTAACTCTCTAGCTTCTGCTTCCCGGAGCTCAACAATCTGTTTCTGAATTGCCTCATCTTCCAAATCCTCCTGTTCTTCGAGACTAATAGTTGCAGATGTGGTAGTAATTTCATCTTTAATTACGTTCTTCTCTCCATTTGTTTCAGTTTCTGCCTTTTTTAACGCTTTCCACCAATTAAGTAGAAGTTTCACATCTTTTCGCCCAAGCACTTTAATATCTTTACAACACTCCCTAATTTCTTTAGTTGTTTTCTCGTGCTTATCGATAATTTCATCATCTATCACTATTTCAGAAGCATTCTGCAAAGCTGCTACTGCATCCTCACAGGCAATAAATTCTTTTGCAGATATTGTATGATATAATGTGTAATCGTTCTCAGGATATCCTTCTACTTTAGATTTTTTTTGCTTTTCTGGATAAAGAACATTTAATTTCTTTGTAGTTTCTATTTGTAATTCAGAAAAGACATGCTTCGGATCAAAGAACTTGGGATCTAATTTATCAGGAGCAATATAATATTGACAAACTACAAAAATTTCTGCAGATTCGCTACGTGACGCTTGAGGTTTAGTAGCATGTACCTATAATTAAGTTTATAATGATAAAATGATAGACAATAATTAATAAATTTTCCTTAAATGATATTAATACCTTTTTAAACAATTGTTTTAGTACCCAAACCAATGGGTTATAATCTTTAGATCGAAACACTTTTGTTATAAACCAACCACCAGCTTTTAAAAACTGAGTAGCTAATTTAAGAGCCGATAATGTCAAAACAACTTGTTGATATGCATCATGAAGCCAACTTTTTCCTACATTGGGAGCACCATCGTTTAAAACAACATCTGCCTTCCATGTTTTTAATTCACGTGAGATAGCAACTCTACATTTATCTGTCGTAATATCTTCCACAAGACTGAGACATCCCGGAATAGGCTTTATCGGGAATAAATCTACACCAATAACTATCGATGACGTTGACATATTTTGCCTGGCAACTTGCATCCAGCCGCCAGGTGCAGCGCATAAATCGATGCATACTCTGGACTTTTGAAGAAATTCAAATTTTCTATTTAATTGAATTAATTTGAAAGCAGCACGCGATCTGTAACCTGAATAAAATACGAAATTTTAGTAATTATTTCAATTATACGATTAACTACTAAACGTTTAATTAAAATACTGCATTTAACGCTAATACAGTTTTCAATTTAATGATTCATATGAACAAATAATATTACCTGTTTCTTTAGCTAATTGATAGTATTTATCTTTCCTCTGCTTTCCAATCTTCGATTTTTTCCCCATTTTAAAAAAATATTAATTCTTTATATAAATGCGCATGTATTAATTGCTCGCAATCATTAGAAACCTATACAGCGTGGTCTTTTCAATCTTCTGTTCGTCATATAGGTTAGGAACATAATAGGTTTGTTCGTGTTCCTTGTACTTTTTGCACTCAGCATCTTCGCTTTCTCTCTTCAACATTCGAATACATAGGTCTGTTCTTTTTAGCTAAAAAGAACAGACCTATGTATCTCTCCACATTGGAGAGAAAAAGAGAAAAGATGAACCAAGAAGTTGTGCAAGAAGTTCAAGATGTGCAAGAAGTTCAGCTAAAAAGAACGGGCCTCATATTTATTTCATTTTGAGTTCAAAAATTTTGTAATATTCTTACTGAATAAAGAGGTCTGTTTTTTGTAGCTGAACTAGTGTACACTTTCGGAACTTAAAGTGAGAAAGGTATATGTTTGATATTTGTTGAAAGCAAGAGAGTTCTAGTTTAGAACATATCCTACTTGAAGAGGAATTGCCTATGCTGGTATACCGAGATGAAGCCAACATCTGTGCGAGAGAGAGGGTCTCAAATGTTCGCAATGTGCAGCATCGTTGTCTGTAGGTTTGTTCGCGTCGCAAGCTCCAACATGCTTCTACCATAACTCCTACTCACTCTATTAAGCACGTTGGAGTGAGTAGGAGCTACGGTAGGAGCATATTGGAACATGTGACGCGAACAAACCTTACTTCTTAAGATGCTAATACGGCTCTCTGATTGGTTCATGCACTAGCTTAAGGCTGGAATCAGACTACGCATTGAAGATTGAGGTTGAAGATTGAAATTTGACCAATGAGGGTAAAGGAATTTTAGCTCCTATTGTTTTGATTGGTCCAATTTCAATCTTTCAATCTTCAATGCCTAGTCTGATTCCGGCCTAATAGTAGGCCTGTTCTTTTTGGCTGAACTTTTGCACCAGTTCATCTTTCTTCCTTTTTTCTCCAGGAGGAAAGAAGAGGAAGAAAAACGAACTGTGGTGCAAAAGTTCAGCCAAAAAGAACAGGTCCAGTATCTTGTCGGTAGTGGTAGAGAATACCAGTTTATTAATAGTGGTCTAGGACTATTTGATATGAAAAGGACGTCTGTCTGTTTTCTCTAATTTGTGCTTCAAATTGCACTCTCTTTTAATGTAACGCAGATTTCATTCACTTCGTAGACCGTAATAGAGAGGTTTCTTTATCTCGATTTTATAGTTATTTGAGGAATTCGAGAAACATTGGAGCGACGTGTTTGTCGCACCAACGTTTATTCGCAATCGTCGCAGGAAAATGCGAAGAACGAAGTCAAAACAAGCCTGACGTGCCAACAAAAATTTCTTCCACCAGTTTTTATCACTTGTGATAAGAGTTTTTGCGGATCGGCTAAAAATGCCGGTGCTAAAAACAAACGTGGTTCTGATTGGAATACCAAGCACAGTTGGACAGAAGCTGTCGGCTGGGTAAGTAAATTTCTTGAAATAAGGATCTGTTATAATGTTATACAACATTTTTTGGTAATATTAAAAAGGTCTTTGTTATTAATGTGTAATATATATTTTATTAGTCTAGTATACTGGCGGCTGGATGGGTTGTATGCCAAACACTTTGTCTTCGCAACAGAATCTTTGACAGAGATAGCGCTGAGACCTTGAAAAACAAATTGCATAATTACTCTGGAGTTTCATTTATACTTACGCAATTATTAAATTTACATCCAAGAAAAATCTTGCCAGTTACCAATTGCGTTGGTACTCGCAAAAAAATCTCCAATCTGCAGGATTCAAACTCGCAATGGACTGCAGAAAAACCATTTGGTCCTATCACCATTGAAGAGGTGAGGATGTTATTTTGTAGACATTATACTTTGTAACAGTATATAGGCAAAAATTGAATTAGGGTGGAAATTATAACAGTCTATATATTTCTTTTAAATGAATTTTTTTAAAAGCAATATAATATTTTATGCAAAAATGATTTATTATTGTTCATTATTGCCATGTCTTATATTGATTCTGTAATTACTAAATAAATACACAGAACGCATTTTTCCGCTTATTTATTCTCTGAGAAATTTGAAAATATATTTTCAGCAAATATTTATTTATTTGTTTCAATATGTATTATACTTATTGTGTGTGTAATATTATCTTTGTAACTCATGCAAATAATAGATAATTTATATTCCGATATATTATAATTCAAGTTGCTTGTTTTTGTATCTTTTTTTGAATAAGATATAATTTATATATATATATATATATATTAAATTTTGTAATGTATTTTACGAAGTGCGTTCCAAAAATTGTAGAATAAATGAAGACTTATACATCTATTTCTTCTGTTTTTTCTTAAATTTCTCTTAAAAATTTTTTTTGTTTTATTTCCTATGTGTAAAGAGGCTAAGTGTAAAGATTTATATTTATACGTATAGATTATCAATTTTCTATATTCTTAGGCATTCAAAGAGGCTTCCGATGAATTTACAAAAACTCATAATATAGTAGTAGGAGAATATGAACTTCGTTATGGTGTTAAAGCTTTAGAAGAAAAACGTTATACAGACGCTTTAATGCATTTCTCTGCGGGCGCTAAATTATCATCTCCCGGAAGCATGTTTAATTTAGGTTTATGTTACGAATTAGGCATTGGAACTTTGGCAGACCAAGCAAAGGTACACCCTAATGTCTAGATAATATCAGAAATTCAGAAATGCAAGAAACAACTTTAGATACCTTATTTACTCAAAAATCTTTTCGATCTTTTATTTTTATCTTTGCACAAAGATAAAAAAGATAATTGACATTTATATGAAATTAAAAAATATAGACGATTTGAAAGTGTGAAGAGATATATATATATACTTGCAAAAATATAGATAAAATATATATAAAAGTATAATTTTCCTGCAGGCTGCAAAATATTACAATGATGCTGCGGCCCATGATCATGCCGATGCCCTATATAATTTGGGAATTTTCCATGCTCAAGGAAAGGGCGGTTTACCAATTGATATTGATACCGCGCGCACTTATTTCACCAGAGCAGCAAAATTGGGTCAGGTACAAGCGCAACATGCACTTGATTTAGAAAAAGCTGAATCTCAATCGAAGAAAAATATTTCTACTCTATCGAACATAAACTTAAAGAATTTAGATTCAGAGAAAAATGAAGAAAATGATGCACACGTTAAATTAAGCGATCTTATGTTATTAAGAAATGTTGGTGACACATTCGGTATAGTCCCAAAATCCAATGAAGTATTTTTAGATTTTTTCGGCTTAAAAAAGCCTAATCAAGCACCCATTATGATAACTACAAATGGTTGTCACGTGTCATATTAAAAAGTATAAAAATACTTTTGTTACCTTAATGTAAGATAAAATGAAATTGTGTATAGTGATATAAAGGATACTAATTCCTACATGGTATTATTTTGCGTTATTTGTTTAATTTTTCTTGTTTTATGCTCATAATATTTTTACTCTCGTAATACATTTAATTGGAAGTGTGTGTTTCACCGAAATCAAATCGGTTATGTTATTACAGGAATACGTATTCTATTCTTGTATATTATTATACGCATAAGTATACTATATTCATACAAATACTTGCTCAATTTATGATATGTCGCGTTATTCAGAATTTTACTATAAATTTCGAAATCCTACAGTTTTAGATATTATTATTTTCGCAATTTTTATTTGAAACGAAGCATTATTATTTTATATACGCGCTTAGCTTAAAAATTCTTTATTTTTTTAAAGTTATTAACATACATAATTTTATGATACATCTATATAAATACATATAAATATATATATGTTTACATATATGTATGTATGTGTATTAATATATGATTTTTAGTGATTTTATATGTATATACATATAATGTTATATTTAATTTGTGTTTAAGTTCAAACGTGATTATAATGTGCGCGATTAAAAGAATTATGAAAATGTACACAATAGGAAACGACTTAAATTCGAAGATTGGGTGTTGTACTTTTACAAATTTAATACAATATATAATCGATATTTTTAGATGTGTATTTTATCAGCTCTTGCATTGAATGATTTTATATTGTCTCTAAAAACGTGTATTAAATTTAAGATTTTATAGTATAGTTTGACGACAGAGTAATGTTTATTGCTCTTGTACTCTACAGTGTAGAAAGTTTATGTATAGGTACAGTACATATAGTATACGTATAATACAAAATAATTTTTTTTTATAATTATTTAGTTTTTCAATATTTCCTTCTCCTATATGAGATCGTCATAATTATACACCGCACTTCACCAGTGTGCTTTGCGTCGCGACACAACTGTTTTTACAAAATCACTATGATTGGCATATAAATTTATTTCTTTATTTAAGTCCATCCATCTTACGTTACGTGCATCATCTCCAGCCTTCAACGTGAGCTTTCCAACGACATTATTTTCCTCGTCGTGAAAATTTATAGCCACTGTCTCCATCCAAGAGTTATCCGTATTTCGCGGATCGTCCACATATCCCTTGTAAATCTCGTCACCTTTTGTGAAGAATTCAGTTATAGAATTTTGAAGGATTTTTCTTTCGGCGTCATCCATTTCTAAAAAGTTCAGCGCTTCCTCCATGAATTCTCTCATTAACGTGGTAGAAACTGTCTCATTTGGATCAATCATTCCCCCTGGTATGGCCCATTCACCGGAATCTCGCCTCTGTATTGCGACAAATTGTAACACGGGTTTTCCTGTTTGCTTGTCTACTTCTACAATTCCCGCATTATCGCGTTTCCACCGTGTAACGATAGGATCAGCAGCATGATTCGGTCCCCATCGGCCGAGAAGTCCTCGTCCAACGATACCGGTTCGTCCCACGGGATTTAAGGGGTAACCATCAGCGTTTACGACATAGTTACCCATAAAACTCTTTCGATTCACCTTGTCTATGTGTGTATCAAAAATTATATTTCAAATATAATTTGTAAGAAAAGTTAATACATAGGCTGTGTTCTAATGTACACTGCCAATATTAAAAATTTATCATTACGTTTACATTATTAGATACAGATTTTCAGTATACTGGCAGTATATAGGGCGTGTTCAGAATTCAGATTCCCACCTGGGTGCTCACCAGGTGTCATCTTTGTTTAATATTCGGTAAACAATAATGGAGTGATACCTGGAGTGATACTCGGGTGAGAATCTGAACATAGTCATATTATACTGGAATAGCCTTCTTGTCTCGCATGCTCAATGTTGACAGTTGAGCTAATTTATGTTTATGTTAACCTAGAAACTGATTTGAGGCTACCTTTATTATTTTTTATTTTTCCTCTGTTAATTTTTTAATCTTTGACTGCATTTATCAATTAGATAAATAGAAAAAGGGTAATTACCATTCACCGCATTCCATTTTGGTTTGAAAGTAGATTCATTGATTTCTGGATCGGCCCAGGGTTTACCCTTAAGAGCAGCAGCGGTATACGCGACCGGTTTATATTCGGGATACTCGACTGTCCATGGTATTTTTTCATTCGGTACTGCAAATCTTTTTACATTACTTGATGGATAAAAATCCTGTCGACACTTCTGGTGAAACAATGTCATGTGTCTGATATTCATATAATGTCCAGGAGGCAATCGTGGCAGCATAACTCTTTTGATGCTTACTTCCACTATTTCCAGTGGCGTAATTAATGATCCGTAGTATGGATCAAAGAATTAACCTGGACAGAACATACGTAAATAAGCTGCCAAATGCCGATTAGGACAAGGAAAATCCAAGTTTAGCGATAAGGAGAAATCTTTCTGTGCCTGTATTCCTTAGTATTCCTTAACTCGTTCTGAGTTCATAACAGTTCATAACAACGGTTGCGCAGCTTTTTTACTATATAAAATATCTGTGCAACTGTCTTGTTATGGTATTTTCTCGGGAAATTTTAATCCCTGGGGAAGAATTAACCTTTCTTTTCTGGAATTTTTCTCGGAAAAAACCTGGCACCGACAAGAAAAGCGGTTTTTTAATGGTACTCCACTTCTTTTTGCTCTAATCTACGTTTAAAAGCTTCCATTTAATATAACACAAAATGTAAAACACTTCTGTGTGTGTGTTAAAATTTTTTTTTAAAGACATTCCATTACAGAATAACAAAATTATAAGTAATTATAGAAATATCAAAATGTTATTACTGAAATTTTTTTAGCACTTTTAAAGCTAAGCATGAAAAACAAAATACATTAAGCATTTAAAAACAATTAAAAAAAGATATAAGCGTAAAATTACAACGAATATTTTTGTGAAGGTGGAAACATGCAAAATAAGAACTTGATAACCAGAATCAGAAAATATCTATAAACTATTCGATTTCATTTCATTATATATATTTACTTCAGACATGATAATCTCTATATTGTAAATATAATGTAAATTGTAAATAAAGCAACATTAAACAAAGCAATACTTGTAACGCTTTTTGCAATATCAAATAAAACAATTTGACTTTTAATGACAGTGATGGTACCGTTACATTGCTATTGTGTAGGTATTATTATATATATGGTAAAAATACTGCACAAAAACAATATATAATGATACTGATCCTGTTATATCATTAAAAATTACAGAATATGGGCCTTTGTATTTCTTGCATTCAAGGTAAAGAAGTTAAAAAAAGCAAACCGATATTGAATTTATTTGCCATAAATTATACATACATACATTATCAATATGTATTAAATATCAAATAGGAATTAAATAGGATGGAAAGAAAAATGCAAAATATTTTTATATCAATTTAAATCTATATTTTTTACTTAAAAGTTGTAGCAGACTATAAAATCTTCAAGTTATAGCATTGTATTATTAGATTATCGATATCTTTTACATAATCTTTTAAATTAAATGAAGCGCATATTCATTTAAATATGTGCGATGTTATTAAAATATGATATCGATTTTGCTATAATACTCTTATTACGTAAAATAAGTTTCAGCTCAAGATCTTTTATCGCACATAGATCTTTTATAAAATATAATAGTAAGGAGTCTTATTTCATTTAATCCTTGGCATATATATGGCATGATATCAAAATATGAATCTCACGCATTAAACTGTGATTAAAGTAACAGCACAATTATATGTTATATTTACAATTATTGACTTTTTCCCTCCAGTTTTCGGACGCATATAAATTTTTGTAAAGTTTTTTTTTATTATAATTCATTTAATTGTATAACTTTCCACAAATCTTGTATTTATACGCTGGAAGACTAGATTAGAAGTATCTATAAAATTTAACACAAACCCTAATAACACTTATTTACTTAGATTGATAAAAAATCCATTTATAATTAATCTGGATGGTAATGAATAATACTTGCGCATGACGTACTGTTAATGCCCACATTTCTTCAAATAGCTCGAATAATTCAGTGCTTGAAGTGATATTAGAAAACCATCGAAAATTTGTAAGATTTATGTCTTTAATATATAACTAATATAAAATATATTATTAGTATATGTATATATAAAAAATTTTTTTTTAATAAAATTTTCGAAGCTTCTATTAACATTTTTTTATTAGCATATTTATTTATTTATTTTATTTTATCAAAAATATACGTTTTATGTACCATTATTTTTACAATTTATGTGAATTTTATGCATATTTTTAGTTAAAATATAAAAATTATATTTCGTTCAATAATTTTAAAGAAATTTTATTACATATTAAGAATTATTTTAAATTATACACTTCAAATACCGAAAGAATTGAAATAATTTTTCGTGTTTTAGCTCGCGTGTTTAGATCCATTACTTTTCTACAAAGTACAGATGAATCGAAAGACTTCATTCTGTGTATGATATCGGTCTTATTTTGAATCTAGATTTCTACATTAAAATGGACATAATGATTGACGATGATATCTAATTTTCTTACAGAGTTCTTTTACTATTGTGGATAAGCGTATGGCATTCTCAAAAAAATACTTCGGATTCAAAAAAAGAAACCGACCAAAACTACTAGCGAAACTACAAACAGTGTAGTTTAAATTTATCATTGCATTAATAAAATTGTGTAAAGCTTAGTAATTACATTTAAACTTTTAAATTCATAATGTTTAATTAAAATATCTCTTATTTTTGTTATATAAATAGCTTACACATTTTTTGTATCTATAGCTGCCTCGTTTATTTTTTAACAGCTTAGTTCTCCTACTTTCTGACGTTTCTATTTTCTGACGTTGCTCATTTCTTATGTAGAGCCCGGATTAAAGTTTTGAGATCGCGTCAACCGTAGTTAGCTTTCCTTACTACATCTCATCCCCCATCGCCGTGATGCCGTTGCTCCATCGCTTCCTGCGTCGCGCGTCACGGCTTCGTATAAGTGGCAGTGGGGAAAATCGTGAGAAACGCGCTACGGTCGACTCGAATGTTACGTCGATCGGCGAATAATCCGGGCTCTACTCATAAAGATACATGGAAATGCTTTGCAATAAGGAATATTACCTAATTTAGAGAAATTTTCTATTATAATGTAAAATTATTAGATATTTCCAAAACACATTAAAACAATAATTGTGTTATTTCTAATTTATGTTTCATTTACTTTATGCATTATTTATTCGTGTTTTTAGTTAAAAATTATTCTGATTTTAGGTATAATTCCTTATAAAATAATCTCTCATTATACAGGCCGACGTTTTAAGACTTTTTTTCTATTGTTTGAATAAAAGATACCATTTCTGATGTATTTTTACGCGCTGAACACGAATCCGGCAATAAAATTTCTCTATCACGTCAGATTTTTGAGAAAAGTGAGGTTGAAGGTGTTATAGAGCAATTTCGTTGTCCTTGCTCGTGTTCAGCGTACAAAAATACATCAGAAATGGTATCTTTTATTCAAACAACAGAAACCGCGTCGACCAATGTTATTAAACAAAAAATCATCATATTTTTACGTAAAATTGAAAATTTGTTTCCGTATCATAGAAATTTTTTTTTATAAATAAGTATAAATCAAACGCCATGATCAAACTCATGATATCCTTCTGCACCGGTGAATACAACGTCTACCCAAACACGCATAGCTTCCGGGCTGGGTGCCATAAGATGATAAAGTCTAGATGATGTCTTGACGATGAACGTGAGGGATGGTTGTGGCGATCGGACGGTGTTCATATGGTCCACATAGACTTCTTCGATCGACTACAATGCATTAATGTTGATTAGTTGACATTAATGTTAAAATTCTTAATAGATCAGCTCTCGGCACTTACCTGGAAGTAAATTACGCCGCGAGCTTTCTTGGACGTGTTATCACTGTAGTAAGATAACGTCTTCCGTCTGCGATCAAAAACAAACCATCGCTTGTTCCAATGATGAAATTTTTTACTCATCTTTGATAAATAACCACTGCAACTTGTTGTGTCGACCGTAACATCGTAAATCAAAGGTAACTGATGCCCGGCAGTTTCTATATGATGCCTTAGATCCAAGGACTCGGACTTGATCGGACCTCGTGAGTGGTCTCTGTAAAATTTATCCGTCGTAGAATTTTAATTCATTGACATCAAAATAATACATTGAATAAATTGAAGCTTTCTCGGTATAAAACAGAATTTCGATATTAAGGAAATTGAAGGGTCAAATTGTTCGAAATTTTTGGCAATTTTTTATGACGAACTGAATAAATGTACGAAAGTGAAGTTTTAATATTTATACACAACATATAAAGGATAAAAAATATATTTTTCATTGATGAATATTTATATAAATATACAATACATATATATATATAATATTTTTGCAGTAATATCTCGGCTCTCGATGGTCCGATCATAGTGAATTTTAGCTAGAAATCTTCAGGAGACTCAATTATCTTAGCAGTTCTTGGCTCGTATTATATCCTTACACCGGTAATTAATCAATAAATTTGAGAACATTACCTGAAGTTTTGCCTTTTCGCGATGTTTGACAGGTTGCAATGGTCCAAGAGTATCCATCTCGCTAGATGTCTGAGAAAGAGGGCGACTTCCATTTCCGTCGATAATTCCGCCGCCACCACCACCGCCGCCACCACCGCCACTATTATCGCTAAGCCTCTCACCTTCCATCGATGTTCTCCTGTCGTCTCTCATCTGGAAAAAAATTCACAAATTCTCATTATTCTATTTTATCAACTTTCACAGCAATATTTAAAATAATAATCTTGCTACGCGTATTTTCATTATTAAATAAAAAATTAGGAAAAATATGCATATTTTGAAAGTTCCTCTTCATTCACTACTATTATCTCAGATTGTGAAAGCATTTCAAAAAAGCGAGAAAACATACAATAAAATTTCTATTCAAATTATATTTGAATAGAAATATTTTTCAATAAAATAACATTGCTATAGGACAGACTTATAAAATGTATTGAAAATTATTTTCTTATTTGAAAGAGAAAATTTAATTATTTATTTTTGTATATTATTAATTTGACAGCATAGCTGTGAACATTAGTTATTTCGTTTTTAGTTATGCATGATTCATTTCTAAATATGTGATTTTTATTGATATATTATTTATTATGACATTTATTAATTAGCGAGTTTCCGGTATATTTTACAAGTCGATTTGTAAATGTTTTATTAAAATATTAATACTTTGTATTATACAAAGATTTTTATTGTATATTTTTTTCGTTTCTGACGTCACAATTTGAAGTAATAGTGATGAGCAAACACGAGCCTTAACGATGTCAGTGTTTAAATCAATATTGCTTTTGCATACAGTTTTTTTGCGTACATATTTGCAAATTTCACGTCTTCGTCTGATGTGTCGTTTTTTTGTTTTGCTTTTTATATAACTTATCCACATAAGTGACATATCGTATTATATCTAACTTAAAAATGTATTTAATTTTTAAAAAGTTGTCTAATTTAACGAAAAATGATAGCAACTGCCGAGATATCGTTTCGTTCACACTGATCCAAACGGATGATAGAGAAAGACTGACGCTGGTGACTTGTTGGTCCAGCGATATAATTCCCACCGTAAAATGTAACTCCGAACTCCCACTCACCAAATGTCGTGAGCACTGAAATTCGCCCGCGCAGTAAGTTTCAAGTATTCATTCATAAAATATCATGCCACGTGTAATAGATATCGAATGACACAGATTGCTAAAACGAGATATTTGCTTTCCGTAACGCAAAATATAATGCTCACATGTAATTACAATTGAATTATATCGGATATTGCCGACAAAATAAAAAAATAAAAACCAAATTTTAACGCATAGTAGATAAAATAGTACCTATGAATAAAATAATGAATAAGTAGGTAGTGAAAACCGATCGAATTAATTAAATCTTTGTTATCAAAATTATTATTGCGTTTTAAATAATTGAGCAATAAGCCAATATTATTATATAACATTAACATTATATAACATCAAAAGTTCCTTTAAATGAAATTTTTGCTATTAGTAGTTAAGTGGTTCAGAGATGAGAAATTCCGTCAGCTTGGCAAACATGGTGACTCATTACAAATACTAATTTACCGCGGACATTTCACTTCGGCTTAACTCAATGCTAAGTAAAGTGGTAGGAATGCAAAGAGTAATATAAGGATATTTTTTCTTTGGAGAAATATAACTTAAGACTCAGAAGAAATATATTTACGCGCATTAAAAATTTAATTTGTAAAAATTTCTTTGATTATTTTTAACATTGCTAAAAAATTTAAATATCTATTTGATTAAATGCGTGAAGAATAACGTGGAAAATTTATCGTACGTCTATAAGTATGTACATATATCTAACAAGAAAGAGGTCAGTTGCAAAAGAGACTTATGCATTCGATGTCATCAATGCTGTCATCATAAATTATTGCTGCAGGCTTAATCAAGATTTTACAAAAGCACATTTATCGAAGTACAAACTACTCTCTGAATGCTGCCCAACCCGCGGCATATTCGCGTATCGGGATTTAGATGCACATACCACACTGGGAAAAACACGTGCGCAATGACGAAAACACTTGCTCCAGAATGCAAATGGATATACTTGCGAAATGTCAGCGCTGAAAAACGTCTGGCAGGCTAAAATGCTACACGAACTTCCGGTGACAACAAATACGTTGTTTTTTAATATACACGAAAGTGTACTTTAAGATGATCTCTTTCAACTGTCAAAACAAGAAATGGTACATAATAAAACTTCATAGCCCGTTATGCGTATCTATATCTATACTTATACTACACCGTTTAGCACAGTTGATATATAGATAATACACTTATTATAAAATATTTATTTCTTTACACACACATTGTTCCCAATGTATCTGTGTGTGACTCAAGTTATTTTTGAAGTATTTCAAATATTAACTCTACATTCCTTTCGAGTATTCCTGCAGTTGATTCACTTTTCTCGTGAACGTCCTGTATAAGTATTCGCTCATAAAATTGCTCGGAGATGTAACACAGCTATTCTTTGCATCCGATTGGCACGATAATGGAGTTTTTTGGAATTATGCCGAGATAAATAAAATAATAAAAAAGATACTCTTTTACTACATAGTCAATATCGCCAATCGTAAAATGAGATCGTAGAAATTGAAAAAAAAAATAAAGAGAGAGAGAGAGAGAAATGAAAAAAAGATAACAAAGATAAAAACAAGTTAATATAATGTAAAGATTAAAAAGAAAAAGATACTATAATTATTTACATTACATTTTGTTCTTTTTTGTTACATAATCTAAAACTCTAAAAACATACTCAGTAATTGAAGAGATTCCACATTAAAAATACAAATATTTCACTTATCTTAAAAATATTATACTATATAAAATTATTTCTTTAGTAAAAAAAGAAATCAATAGCTCACATTTTCGCATAATGAATAGATTCGTGACACAGATGCGTCTTGGAGTAAGAGAAATCCCGCTTGCGTGAACACTGAAAAATTTTAGGAGAGCAGACTTGTCAAGGGACATTTCTTTGAACAGGTGTGCGATAAAATCCACACGAGCAAAAATAGAAACTGAAAGATAGACTCTCGCTTACTCGACGTAACATCTTGTAGTATACGTATATATACATGTGTCCGTGCTTAATAGCATTTGATCAAACGATAAAATATTTTTGGAAATCAATACGTACGAGTAAATAGTTTCTTGGAAAGGAATTGTAAACATTTCATGTAAACGTTCAACATTCCATTTGCACAACATCCCAAAGTGAAGTGAGACATAAACTTAAAATTTGATTTAACGTGAAAAGTGTGTTTTATGCTATATATACTTACGTTGTCATTTTGAAGTAAACTATAAGAATTATTCAACGGTCCTGGACTGGGAGAAGTAAGTTCCGAAAGTTTGCTGGGCGATAATTTTTCGCCGTTTCCACCTTCTGCGCCGTCGGTGCTTCCGCTACCACTGGAAAAGTAAATTGGTAATAATTACACAGGTCTACAAAAAAGGGGGTCTTGGATGTTGTCGGGAAGCTGTGGGTCATTTCCGAAGTAATTTTCTGCGTAGAATCCGAATCTGAAACCAGAATTGGCCCATCACGTCAGGATTTTGAGATATTAGGGGATATATACTCGAAAAATGCGTTTTTATGCTACTTTAGAGGTTATGTACAGGACGCAACCAATTTTTTGGGTCTTTTGTGCTATTTGCATCATTTAGTAATATTCTTACCCTTCAAAATGAGATATTGATCGACTACCTACGATTTTTTTTCGCCAAGTTACGGGCATTTTAACCCACTTGCGTAACCGTTTTTCCCGTCTTTTTCGTTCCAAAATGCATATTTATTATTTGACATATTTGATATAACAAAAACTGTTAGGATCATTTAAACACTTACGCGGGGCCATTGTTAAGACAGCAAACAGTCACAATTGTGACTGTTTATATATTAGGACCTTGAATAACGGACAGCGCGTCTTGTGCGCTGCGGCTCTGAGTGCAAGGCGTCTACCAACTTTAAACAAATCATTAGTTTTAAACTTATTAATGCAATGAAAATGAAACTTTCCAGAACATTTGTTCATATCCGAATGAACAACTTTCTCGCTGAAAGTTTTAGGATGCTCGAAATTCGCTCGATAAACGAAGCACCTGAATGCATAAAAAAGGATATTTTGCAGGTGTGTATAAAAAAAATAATAAGTTGTTTGTTTATTGACAAATATCGGTTTTTCTTTCTTCACTAGACGTGGAAAACTCTAATGATCATAACTTCGAAAATAGCAAAAAAACGCATTTTTCGAGTATATATCCTCAAATATCTCAAAATCCTGACGTGATAGGCCAATTCTGATTTCAGATTCGGATTCTACGCAGAAAATTACGTCGGAAATGACCCACAGCTTCCCAACAACAAAACCTTGTTGACCTGTGTTATTTGCAATTATGTCGTTGCAAGTCTTAATAATTTGTTGATCGCATTAAAACTTTCAATGAAACTTTAATGAAATAAAAAATGAGTCTATATTTCGTCATTATCTTTTACATCTTTACAAATTAATAGGTATTAAAAATATATCCTAAATACAAGTGTAAAAATATGAGAAATGTGAATAATTCAATTGATGGCTCTTATTGTCATGTCGAACAAAATATCGCAGTTTCTTTGATATTGTTGAATCCTGTTTACATTTTATTTATACTTGATATGAAACTTCACGCTGACATATTTAGTAAGCGCTATTATTAACTGGAGCGTGAACACTGAATGTCGCGAATTTTATTCGGTGTCTTTGACGTCCTTGTGGGAGGAACTTCGAAAATCACGGTCCTAGTTCCTGAGCTTCGCGAGACTGAGAAGAAGACGAGGCCTATAGTCGACTATAGCGAAAGGCAGGTATTATTAAAACCTAACAAGTACAAAGTGACTCGGTAGACCGGTTCGACGATACCACCGGCACTGCATTTAATTCTTCTACAATGTTAAATGCAGCGCGAACGATACCCGAACATTCCGATCTCGTTGCCATGCCAACCTCGGCCTTGGTTGACTAGAAATATTTCCTTGTTCCCAATAACTGATCTCTGATTCTATTGAAGTCTATTTCTGTAATTTTATTTCCTGTCTTCTTTCATTTAGTAATGGCTCTAAAACGAACAAAGCTTCATGCGATGTATGTTATGCACACACACACACACACACACACACACACACACACACACACACACACACACACACACACACACACACACACATATGTACATACACAGGCGCACGCGCGGACGCACGTACGCACACGCACATTAAATGAAGATTATGATGATCAAATACATATAATTTGGTCATGCAAGAATTTAATAAAATACATGTAAAAAGTGACGTAACAGAAATATATTTTTTGACAAATATTTACAATTTGTAACCAAAACTTTTCTAATGAAAATATAATCAGTAGTCTAATTACTGAATTATTGAATACGGAATATGATTATGTAAAACTCCAATATATAAAAATTAATAATATAGAATTGTAACTGGGAAAGCTTGGCGAAATCTTGGCATTTTATGATAAGTCATCTAACAATAAGTTTTTATGATTCCATATGCAAATTATTTGTATATATAAGTTCATAATACACATACACACACAAATTAATTATATCATCTTTGAATGTAATTATGCTGCGTGTATTGTGCACTTACGTCGCGCACGGAATATATTATGACGTCTTAGGGTCATAAGGTGAATCTACTTTTTGCAACATATCGTCTTATCAGACTTATCTTAATTTTATGTGTAGCGTACGCATTTGTATTATTGTAATAATAATTAATGCGACGTGTTATTTTATTTTAATTTCTTTGACTTAACTGTTATTTATAGCTCTTTTATGTAAAATGATTTACTCTTACCTATTTTATTCTCTAGAAGATATAAATTCTTTGAAGAGAATTAATTGAAATTGAGCTTTTTATAATTTATATACTCGTGTTAAATTATTTTTTGAAGAAGATTTTAAATCGTCTCGTAAATTCAATCAAACCGATCGTTTTTGACAGAAAAGATAGTTTTTTTTTTAAAAAGCAATGACTCACAAATAACGTTGATGAATATCGCGCGCGCGAGTTTCCAGAGGATGATAACAGTTATCACAAATCCAATCTTTAGCGCACAGGTAACAACGATTACTAGTAAGGAAAGTAATTAGGTTACATCCCGTAACTCTGGCCTCGTTCAGCACCATCTCACCCATTTCTCTAGGGTCCATTTTGGAGCATTGTCGATAATAGCTACCAAAATACACGTCTTAATTCCTTGTGTTGCTTACGACTCGTTATTCATTAATTCTTTATCTGTATATCACATTTCTTTATATATCTTCATATCACATTATAACATTCATCTTTCGTTGAACATTTCATCTTTCATTGATTTTCCATACATGACACGTTAATGCAAGTAAAACCATCAGAAGACATAGTTACACAGATATCATATCACGCGATAACGCCCCGCCTACCTTGTACCACGAGAGAATGAAGACTCAAGCCGAGTGTCGATCAAACCAACACGATATGCGGCCCTCGCACGCAATCAGTAATTGCTCTTAACAGCATCTTGTATATTAACAATAATATTAATAGTGTAATAATGAGGCCAAAAAATTCTGTAATTTTTTCAGAAATTTTGCAAAATATAATCATTTCTCTCGATCACTTAACTTCTAATTTATTTATATTTTTTACATTACAATAAAAATTATTTTTTGAAGAAATGGAAGATAAGTGAAGTGTACTTAATCGTAGAATACTTTAAGTGCTTATTCACCTACTTGCGACATTGAATGGATAACTTTGATTTTGTATCGGATGCATAGGATATACTCAGACTATCATAAAGTGACATACACATTACACAACGTTCGTGTCGATGAAAAAGGTTTCGTAATAAGCTTCAATCAACGATGAAAAGGTCGTCGCGATTAACTGCGATACTGCGCGATAATGTACACGTCTTGTATTACGCATACTTCGTGGTACAAATAGCATACGTTTATATACATTGATTTTTATGTGTGCATAATAAACGTCCGCTTGTAGCGAGATGCAGTTTGTCGTATATACAAATACATATTTAGGATACATTTAAGTGTTATTGTCGCGAAAGAATGTAAATAAAAATTTTCAAAAAATTGTCCTAACGCCGTATAAAGAGATATACAAAAGAATTATAATAAATAATAACGCTTTTAAATTTTGGATTAATTTTGAAAAAATTTTGAAGAGTTATAATAATAAAATTGTTAAAATAAAAAGATGAAAAGAACCGAATCATTAAGGTTTACCTTTCTGTTGGTCCAGTGGAATAACTGGAAGATTCTTCGCCAGATTCAACGCTGTTAAAAGACGCACAGTTCATTTTTCTTTCTTCCCATTGTGAACGGACTTCATCCTGTACGCGTCTTTTCAATTCTTCGACTCTACGTCTTTCCTCCGAGATTACTTGACTCCCTGAAAAAATATTAATATTTTTATTTTTGCTTGTCCTTTTTAGAGTACATGTATTGTAAAATGTATCATAAATTGGAATAATTTGTACCTTGTTTAGCTAAATGAAGCTGCCGATTTCTTTCGATTTCTTTCAGTGATTCGATCGTCTTTCTTCCTAAGCTACCTTGATTGTTTACGATGGGAGAATCATTGGTTACTCTGGAGATTCTGTCGAAGTCTTCTCTGCTCGGGGATCGTTTTTCTTCAGAACATTCAGCAGAATTTTGGGCCAGATAGCCGAGTTCTTCATTTATCTCTCGTACTCTATTTCGAGCCTATCACAATTACAATCGTTGATTAATTAACAGCTATTAGTTGATGAATTAACATTAATTAATTAATAAATGATAAATCCTACAATACATTATCCATTAATGTCCAATTTCTTCACCTCTAGGTAACTTTATCCAGGAGATATCTCCCAGATTACAATGGAGATATCTCCTGGATAAAGTTATCTGCAACTTATCTGGAAGTGAAGAAATTGGGCATAAGACGTAGCATGCAATACGAGATATTTAATTAATTTGATAATTTTGTTGTAGGAAAATAATTGTTGGAGGAGAGAATTTATAATCTAATTTTATCATGCTTAAACATACATCGATTTTAGTGGATTAATATTTCTTATACTTATTTTATTGTTACTTTACTAACTTCTTCCAATCGCTTCAAATGTCCCAATTTCTGTCTCTCTAGACTTCTGGCCTCTTTAGTCGCCGCGTTCTTTGCTTCAGACCGTTGCGATTCCAGATGAGTCAATTGCAATTTCCTGTTTTCGATCTTACTTGTGAGATCACTCAAGTATCTGCAAAAACGTCTATGTAACGTATATCTTGAGAAAATTGAACATCATAGTTAAACGATTATAGTGTACCTTTGCAGCTCTTCCCTCGTGGCTAATTTACTCGCTTCTTCTTCAAGATGATGAAACTCCAAGTCTTCGAAAGCTTTCCTTTCGCTCTCTAAGACATCCTGCTGCATCGTTAACTTGTTGGCAATATCCTGCTGCATAATTTCATCCGTGTAATTAGTCAATTGTTCATCCAGTTGAGCGCAAGCTTGCTGTGCCTTTTGAACACGTTGTTTCGCTTCAGCTTGCAAATTCGAATGAGTCGCATTATCTTCCGCCATTTCTCTTTCCAGTTCATTTATTCTCATTTGCACCTTTATCTTCTCTCCTTCATCTTGCGTGAGCTTCAAGGATTCCGATTCATATTCCGCGGATACAAGCGCTTTCTCCAATTCGAGCTGTCAAATAAGCAATATACGTATTAATTTTTAATATCTTTGAATACCTTTTTTTTTGTGCTAATACCAAATTTGTGCTAATTTTCTAAATCTAGCTTTATCGAAAAATAACGTTAACAAGATAATTACTTACAAGATACATTGTGATATATTGTGTATTTTATTATTTCGTAGAAATTTCCGTGAAAGAAAAAGATTATGACTGATACGGCGATGATATACTTAATCACGAATAATCTTTCTTGTGTGAAAATAAATAAAAAAATTACTCTTTTCCTTATGATGTTTTATTCTTGAAGAATTCAATTTTAGAAGTCTGTTCAAGTGTGCCGTTAACTAAGAGAGTAGTTCATATTTCTTTATAAACTGATACGCCTATTTGACCTCACGCGCGCGCGCGCGCGCGAAAGTTTCTAAACTGACTTATTTTATTTTTATCTTTTCTTTATTATTTTGTTATTTGTAAAAGTGTATATTGGACAAATCAATGTTCAAAATAAATTTATTTTGAAATAAAAAATTCTTTTCAATTTCTCTTCATTTTTGCGATTAATGAGAAATTAATTATATCATTGTTACTGTTGCATTCTGTGTTATGACCGATCTGATACTATAAAAAGAATCTACAAGAAAGATTAGAGCGTGTACCTAAATATTAATTCGAGAAACAAGTTTAAACATAGCTAACGGAGATTGCCTAGAGTTTGTCACTAGTAATTTTATTATTTATCATAAATACATACATATATATTATATATACATATATATGTATATATTATTATTTAACAGAACTAATACTTACAATTAGATGTCTTCCATATGCCCAGAAAGGGATAGAGAGAACAAATAAACAACTTATTTAATATATATGATACGCGTAGTACACGAGATAACAGTGACAAAACTATGAATTTATCTGTTCAATCTTGTTTGATAATATATAATGCCAGAATAAAAATAATTACCTCTCTACTAATTTCTTCTTCTTGAATTTCAATTTCGGCGACGCTCCTTTTCAAAGCATCCATGTTACCAAGAATATGCAATTTCTCGTTTTGCAAAAATTCTATGTATTTTTTCCTGTCTTCCTCTTCCAGTTGCTTCCTCTCTTTGTCAGCTTTCACTTCATTGGACTTTGCGTTATCCTTTTCAGAATTATTTCGCTTGGGAGTCACGTAGATTTCTTTGGATTTTGATAGCATAGATAATTGCTCGATCGCTTCAAGAAGATCATCATTCGATATGGCCAGTTTATTTTCTATCATTTCGTACGAGTTTGACAATTGGCTGTTTTTCTTTGGCATGGAATGATTATTATTCCGTGTCGTCGGGGATAATACAACGTTTTCGTAAATACTCGTGTTCCCATTTTGCGTCGTTTGCTGTGGTTCGATTTTCGCTCCGTTCAGTCGAATCGTTCCGTATGTGGACGGTAAGCCTTTGGTATCGTCTTCAGCCTTCATGTAATTCCCTGTTCCGTCGGTGTAACTGCCGCTCTTTTTATTATTGCCAGTGATAACGTTTTCATAGTTGCTGCCACGAGAAATTGAACCTGAGAAGCTGTAGTTGCCATTATGAACATTAGAATACTTCGCCGGTTGATTATTATTTGGTGTATTTGGCAATCCTACGGAAATGTCACGATTTTCAACTTGAGCAGATTGATCTCTACGATTGGCGGGCGAATTGCCATTTTGAAAAATAACTTTAGAATTTTGCACGGACACATTCTCGTATGACGAAGTACCCCAATTGGTTTGCTTGATAGTATCAAAAGAGAAATGCGGTTGATTTTTCGATGGGCTCTTCGGACTATCGAAAGAAATATAGCCGAGTCTCTTGTCACGCGGAAGAGATCCATTTGTTATGATCCTGTAAAATATTGCATAAATATACTCTATATTTTTTGTCTGCAAATTAATAGATTCAAAAGAAATATTTGGATATTTAATATTATGAGATAAATTTTTACAAATTTCTTTCATTTTCTAATAAAACGACAAAGAAAATTATTAGAAAAAGAATTAAAATAAAAAGAAAGCAAATAAAATGTAAATCAAATACGTTACCGATTAGGTTGTCTCGGCTTTTCGATGGTGCTTTGTCTTTCGTATTCGGCACACATTGTCAAGATCTCCTCGAGCCTCATTTTCTCTTGCCTCTCGACCTCTTGCTCCCGCAACCTCTCTTCCTGCGCTTGTTTCCGCTTGGTCTCCGCCTCCCTGCGTTTATTCTCCGCGTCAGCTTGCCTTTCTCGCAATTCTTCGAGGGAGCAATTGCTACCGACACTTGGGGTAGGACTCTTGACCCTCGCGTAAACTCTCTTTTGCTCATTATATCTTGGATTCCGATTAAATGCCGGGCTTGGTGGTAGAATTCGCTTAACATTTGGATTTGAGCCGAATCCGTGAGACGGCCTCAAGATTTCAACGTTGGCATCTCCACTAGCGTTACAGATACTCGGATTCGATCCGTATTTCTCCAATTGCAGAAATTCTGTAGTAGTCGTTTTCGTGACGATAAGGCTTTGGCTCATGTCGAAATCCCTATCGACGAGATGGTCAAGTTCGTTCGAGCTCTGACAAGTCATACTTCGAGACATCAAGTCATCGCTTCGAGCGGTAACGATTTTTGGAGACGTCATTCCGACACATGGAGATCTCACGTTTTTATTATTGTTCTCGTGATATGGTTTACACGTTTTTAAGTATGTTTCCGCCGAGTACATTCTAATCTGATTGTGATTCTGGCACTGCACGTTGACTGCATTATTCGATCGAGTTGGCGTACTGAGACGCGACTCCGATCGTTGACGAGTCTCGTCATGGTAAATGATCGAGTTCTGTGATATCGAGTCGACGTTACCATTCATGGTGAATCCGTTCACCGGAGATTTCGTCAAGGATACCAGACTCGACGATCTTGAATGACCGAGGATTTGGTCGGCTGGTACATTCGTCGTAAGAGCACCAGCGGGAAATACCTTCGGTGAAACGCAATTGGTTCTGTTTTGCTTCGATAGCATCTCAAACTTAGTCAGCTTGCTCAGAAAACCCATCTCATCGTCAGAGCAAGAATTCCTAGGAGATTTCCGCGGTGCGACTGGTGGCTTTCGCTCTAAATGATGATTTTCCTGCGGCTGGCCGTCAGGAAGAGCAAAACTTATCGGCGCCATTGAGATTCTCGAGTGGGGAAAGACAGATCGTAGGTGTTTAGCCTCGGCTGGATGATTAAAACGCATGTAGTTCGATCGACCTATCGATAGCATACAACCTGAAACATTTAGTGCCTTTTTATCTTCATCACAATAATTACGATAAATTTAAGTACATTCATAACTTTGATCCTATATATGTTTTATTTTATTTGAAGCAAACGGATTTTAATACGGTAAATAGAAAAAAAATTTTTATTTCTCACGCAATAATATTGCGCTAATAAATATCGAGCTGTTTCTTAAAAAATATTATTTTTGCCAGTACAAAGAACCTCCTTCTTACTTTTTTAAGACGTCTGCACGCCCACCGGTCACGGTCATTCGTATTTAGGTCAAGGTTTCTTACCTTGCGCGAGTCTTACTGGCGAATTTATCGATACACCATCGATGAACGTATTGCCATTTATGGGGAACAAAGTGACCACACCATTATTGTTCTCGATAGCACAATGCATAGATTCGACGCCGGTACCGGCCACCAAAATGTCCGCATCTCGGTTGGATCCAATCGTGATCTTACCTGTGTAGCAAATGAAAAAGGAAAAGAGGTAAATTTATTTCTCAAATGAGAAAAATAAAGAGGCAAAAGTATTCAATTTTTTGTTTTAAATTCGGTCATATCTAAAGTCATTTAGTTTTGAGAAACAGTTTCGAACATTTTTCGAACGTAAAGATGCGCAAGATAAAAAAAAGCGATGCGAAGAAGATCAGGAAGCGTGACTAAATATCGCTTGCGCGTGTCTTACGGTTGAATGGAAACCAGGCGAGCGTGTATGCATTCCGATCGAAATTCTCGCGGGCTTAGTAACGCACTTTCCAACGTAACGTGAGTCACATTAATTTTGGCAGCGGTTCCCACGAGTATCAGAATATATAAATATCGATGTAATCGAATTCTTGAGCTTATTCGCGGAACCGTTTCACGGAAACTTCGATTCCGAAGGGCGCGTGAAACTCGAGTTTACAATATTAATTTGAGCCTTCTGGGAATGTCAACGACCTGGCGATCGCGGCCGCGACGAGGATGGCCGGATGTATTCTCCGCCCGATATACAGAATTTCAATGTACACGATATACAAATATACGGAAGTGCGGAATTGAAGCGAAGTATTTTCAATAAAATACACTTCGATTCAAGTATAGGAGTTTTATTATGCACTCTTGAAACCAAATTTGTTAAAACTATGTAATATTTTTAACGATCTAAAAAGAAACCATGCTATAATAATCGTTAATGCATACGGAGAGCAGTCAGGATTTTTCACAACCGTATAAAATCGATTCTCGATAGATTCACAAACAACTCGCACTAGTTTCCGTAAAATAATTCTAGATGTGCTCCGTTCTGCGCGACACGGGTAAATCGTGGTACATTCTACGAAGGACTGCAGTTATATTTAGTTTTAGCGCGGTCGTGCACTCTCTCGTTGCATTTTCGGTCTTTTTGGAAATGTGTTGGCCACGATGCGCGTTGTGAGGAATACACATATAAGTATCCGACGGTACCTAGATGCACATAATTTAAGTAATGGTTGAACTAATTTTTTCTCCCGGACGTATTTAGAATGTTCAGCATTTTCAAGAATATGCAGCATATTAATTCATACGTTGATTATATATAATTAAAGATATTTATTTCGAAAATACTTACTTGTAAATCGCAGCTATTAATTATTATATCCAATCGAGCATAACAATTTTTTGTCGAAAATATGGCAATCTATTTAAATCATGCACGAATGACAGCTATGAAGATGAGATTTTAAAGTTCGAATTTTACTGCGGAACGCATTGTTTTAATCGGAGAAAGTGTTCCTCATGATTTCAAAATGAAGTACGATCGTAAATTCCAAGGAGATGTGGTGTTCCAACACGTACGCAAGCGAACCGGTAGACAGACAGACAGGTGCACAGAGAAAAAGTGAAGTCTATGACGTTAGTGTCCCATTTTCAGAATTTCAATATATTTCAATATAATTTAAATTCTGGCTCTTGTTCAAAGAGTTTTAGACAACTTCACATTTTAGAAGTAATTCTCGCAATTGAATTGATGAAAACGAAAAAATTTTAGTTGACCCTTTTAACTCTTGGTTAGAAATTTTCCGCGTTCCTATGAGTGAAAAATTTCAATTTATTATTCTATTTTATAAATTAAATTCTATGAGAACTATTGGACTTACAGATTTAGGAAAGCCTATTTCCCGATGGAGTTGCGTTACTCGGTTGTCATAGTGAACGGAAGATAACTTCCTGTCAATCAATTTCATCCTACACGTCCTATCTTTGTGCAAGTGTTACGCAGGTAAATGCATCCGCCCCTAACTTTATTCACGTCAAATCCACACTATGTAACCATTTATATTGTTTCTTGTTCTCTATTCTCCCTCTCTTTCGAGCTTTTATTTATTTGTTCCTTTGTTTAGCAAAATTCAATTTTAAAGATTTTTTTGAACCACCTAAAATTATTTGGGGCAAACGAATTTTGATTCACGTCATTATATTTCAAGCTCGGTTGCATGACGCATCGACTATATTTAAGGTATTCTAAAATATACAAACTACCAAATTCTTGTAATCGGTATATCCCAGAATCCCTTTTCTTTCAAGTTACGAGTTAGTAGTAATTTAACTCCGTTATGATGTTGCCTGATGTGTTTGTTTAATCTGTTCGCCATTTTACGAACCGATATTGGATCTGTTTTCAGTGGCTGAACTAGTGTATATTTTTGCAACTTAAAGTGAAACAGATATATATTTGATATTTGACGAAAACGAGAAAGAGAGTTTTAATGTAGTTTAGTGTAGGAATAAAAAATAAACTTATTGTTTCAGTTCACTACCATCACTTGTTCTAATGAAACACGCACGCACGCACACGCGTACATGCAGAGTATGCATACACATCTGGCACATACATAAAGGCTAAGACCAAGTTTGAACGATCGTGCAGTCTTCTTCTTTATGTCCTCCTATGGATTTATGTTCTTTTATCATCATTATCCGCCGTAGTATACGTTTTTCTCACAATAACACAAAGGATGAAAAAATATTGCTCGATATTTTTGTTTCTTGAATTATTCCATTCAATATCACAAATAGTAACAACTTCTATCAGTAAATTCGATGGCGCCGTAAAATTTTATCAGTTTGAACAATGGTATTCGAGTGTTGGATTAAGAACATCGGATGAATCATTACGTGGCGATGAATTTATCTGTTGCTACCAACCCGATTTAGCTCGTTTCACTTTCACACATAGATGATAAGAAAATATCTCGCGAATTGAAAAAAATTAATTGTATCTGTGTATCATTCTTTTGCTTTTAGATGTGCGCCTCTGAAAGTGCATCTATTAAACTGGCACAACCACTGTCGCGCAATGAAATAAAACACAGACTGTATAAATTTAATGCTTTTTTGTTGCTTTATTTGCGATTTTATTGCTTTTGCGATTTGAAATAATGGCTGTATCTCTCAACTTAAATTTATAATTAATACAGCCAGAAAAATCAATAGAAAAAAATCAAAAAACTAAATAAACAAAACATATCTCTTCAGTGTTGTTTTGTTGTTAATTAGTTCTTCCATTTCCAAGTTTGTGATTCAGCAAAATCCTCTAATTACTTTACACTAACACAACATCATAAAATATTAATTTCATTAAACACTGAGAAAAAAACTGTATGTTGTCCCTCCAAAATGACTATATAATTATAGCTTTTTGAATAATTTTTTACGTCAATCATTTTTATGGTTATAATAACTATAATTATTATTTGATACTACCAAATTATTTTTCAACTTATTAATGATAATAATCCATCAAGAATTTTATTAAATTTGCAAATTTGAAGAGTTATACTGACGCGGAGTATTTGGAGGTAATTTTCGAAGGTTAAGAATGGAATAACAAAATCGGCTTTAATTAGAATATTAAAAACCATAAAATAAGAATAATGAAATCTAAAATTAGAAAAATATAATCAAGACATATATTGTGTTAATTGGGGAATGATTTTTCTGAATTAGGAATGGTACAATTAACTATTAGAAACTAATTAGCAACAAAACAGTATTTAAGAGTTATGTCGCGCTTTTTAATTTTTTAATTTTTTTTTCTTAATTAAGAGAAATAAACTTAATTTTCGGTCAAAGTGAATCTTAGTGCTCAAATATGTCAGAGTGAATTTATATCCAATTCTGCAAACCGCGCGCCGAAATCTTTTTCTTGAAATGTAATGATGATCAGAACTAGAGTATATAGTAATATCACATTGACAAGCAGTATAATCTTTTATGCTAATAAGCATCATAGAAGGATACTAATAATTTTTTTTTCTGTAGCTATGATAACTATATAAGCTTAACTTGATACAACTACCATTTTTATCAAATCGACTAAAGTAATAAAATTTCGACTAAAGCAACAATTAGTAACAAAATAGCATTAAATTTATATCTATGTTTTATTCAATTTTATTTGAATGTGCTGTAATGATTGTACCAGTCGAAGAGACGTCTTCGAAATTTAATACAATTAAATGTAAATGCCATATATAGGTTGATTAAGAACTTCAACATGAAGAAACTGTTTGTCATTAAAGAAGAAAAAAAAATAAAAAAGCGCATATCGCATTTATATCTAACCTTCGGGTAGAGGATGCAAAGTCACGGCCGTCGACAGTCGACCGCTTCCCATGGAGACGAGATGCGGTGTTTCCGTTTGTACGCGTAACGCCCGACCCGTCTCGTGCACCTCGAGACCGGCTGCTATGCTCGCCATGCCTGCAAAACAAAAACGTTCGTAATAAATGCGCAATAAATTAACAGATGAAACGAAGAGACTAGTGATGGGAAACATAACGATTCAGTTCCATTAGTTCTCGTGCAAACGATCCCATATCGTTTCTCGTTTATAATCATGCAATCAATTGACTTTAATTGCCAAGCCATTTATAAAAATGCGATGTTCGAAAAAAAAACGATATTTTTAATAAAACGCTATGTATCAAAAACTTTCACAAGATTACAAAAAATATGCAGTGGTTTTGCGAGGATCGAAATAGTTGACAGCTATAAGAATTTGCATGCCCACCTGGGGGACACCATTAAAATTACGCTCGATACCGAACATATACCACCTATTGGGAAGAAGGTTTACCGAGCCTTATTATTAACTACAACGAACGACCTCGTCGAAGATTATGGCTATCGTTTCACGAGAGATCGATCCAGATGAGTTCTACGAGCGAAGCTTCACATTGGCGGATAAGAATGAGGAGGGTTGCCCAAAAAGAAAAAGCAGGGACGAAAAACCGGTCTTTCCGAGACGGGAAAGGATTTTTCTATCTTCTTTTTTTTCTTTCTCCTTGTCCCATCATAAACTTAGTCTACAGGGGTTCTTAACCTTTTTGCGACCTACTGCATCTCTTCTGCAGAGATTTATGGTAATATTGCGCCTATACATATATGCACAAATAATTTTATTAGTCAATATTTATTTTATTATTTTTGCTTGTACTAATAGGTCCTTTTAATCGAATATAATATTTTATAAGATATAATTTTATAATTAATATATATTCGACTATAAGATGAATTTAGAAAGTTTTGATCAAGCTGAAAATTTATCGTTGTAGTGTACGATATACTTGCAGGCCGTTCATAGGGTTGTTCATCTCATGTGAAGGATCTTAACGAGTTGAAACAACTTTAATTAAGCACATTACGTTAGGCCGTCCCGTTGAACTTTGCTAACGCGTTTGACCACGAGGAAGTAATGTATTCCATTTGCAATTTTTGTATCAAGTTGCTTATACAGTGAAAACGCATAGAAATGCATAGAGGATAGAATAATGTTCGGAATAAACATAATAATAAAATTATTTACTCTTTGCCAACTCATATAATAAAAAAGGAAAACTCTTGGAGATGGTTTGAAACTTTTTAAATTTCTAAAAATGAGATTATTATAATTCTCTTTTTATTATAATTCTATATTTATTATAAATCTATATTTTGTTAAATTAATACTAATTAAAAAACGCAGAAATATCTTTAAAATAGCAAAGGAAAAATTGATTTTAAATTTAAATGACTGAAGAATCAGCTGCTTTTAGTGATTCCACTTTATTATTGTCTGTAACATTTTATGAAAAACAATATTTTCATATACGAAATTTTAGTGATTTACCTTTGCGGTTGACCGACTAAACGGTTCATAGCTCTATATGGTCGTGTACTGCACCCACAATCTGCTTAAATTACACCTCCTCGGATTTCATCGGCGAGTAATTTAAAGCCAACGATTAAGACGTTGGGTTGCGTTAAGTTTCTTAGCTTGAAGCTGAGATCTTTATGAGGAAGCAGAAGTGTTATCATTATCTCTAGGCTCTGCGTACATACTGAATATCGCGAAATCGTCACTTTTCTTGCGAATGCTAACGAAGATTGCTGATAGGTCAACGTTGGAAATCTGATAGGTCATCGGTTTATTGCGCAGCTCAATTTCATCGTCTGAACGCGCAAACGAATGCTCTTGAAAATCGTAATTGGATCGATATTCGCACTGTCTCTCGTGATCGGAACACCATACTGGAGCATTTGATAAGATACCCGATAATAACACGCGCACACGCAATTTAATGCATTAAATCGATGAGAAGACATTTAACTTGTTATAATTTTAAAGAATTAATGATCGTGAAAAAGATGCTACAGTTCTATAGAAAAGGTATTATCGCTAATATATTACAAGTGGTACTTATTTAAAACCAGTCAAGGCATCGAAAGTGCAGGTGTATCGTCCTTGCGAGTTCGGTCTCGCGTGACTCCGTTCCAACAGTAGACACCTGTCCATGTGCAGGTGAACTAATGATTAGTGGAAATGTAAAAAGAAATATATGAAAAGATTGGAAAATACTAACTTAATAATTCTTCAACTTCAAAATTAATCCATTAATGATTCAAACATATCATACAGGATACAATAATATATTGTATAACATAATAATAAAATTATTTATTGTTATGTTAACTTGTGAACTTATGTTATAAATAAGAAGGGAAATTCTTGAAGATGGTTTAGGATTTTCCAAATTTCTAAAATTAATATTCTCACATATATTTCTGCGCCATTGAATCAGTCATTATTTGATTACTAATTAAAAGCATAGAAATATCTTTAAAATAGCAAAAGAAACATTGATTTTAAGATTAAAAAGGAAAAAGAGAATTATTGAAAGATCTGTATATGTAACATAAAATATTAAGAATCTCAAATAATTTTTCAAAGATAAACCTGGCAAATTGAAAATAAATGAGAGCAAATTCCTCGCGAGTTTGCAGCGACATCGTCACCAGCTTCTGACAACATATCGCCTGCAAATACAGTTGATACAACCTTGAATACCTCATTTCGCCTGTTTCTCGACGGTAATTTTTTCTGTTGTATCAGTCTTTTTTGTATAGATCGAAAATATTTTTCGTACCTCACTCAACAGGTCGTAAATCGTAGCGTAAGATCTTGAGCACCTAAAGGTAGAGAGATACGAAAGAAGTAAAAACTCGGCAGGCAAATGGCGAACGCAAATGTTTACCCGTACACGAGACGATAGCACAATGATAACGTAGTTTTGATAAAAGCATGTAGCCACGCCTCTCGTGCAAATTACACTTAGGTATCTTAATTTTAAGTTGGATTAAAACCAGTTATATTTTTCTTGCGCGCGCGCAAAGAAGAAACGTGAGGATTTTCCACATTCACAACAAACGCAACAAGGAATGATGTAAGTTAATTAATCGGGCCACTGCCACCGACATATTTTTTTGGTAGAGCTTGTCTCAATGGGTCAACGGTTTGCTCTCTATTAGCGACAGTTAACGCGTTAGTATAAACGTTTACCGATGACGTCAGTTGCGCCACACGCGGAATGATTTACAAAGATGCCCCGCCATCCGCGACGCCTACAGAGATATGAGCTTTATCTTTATCGTTTGTGAGATGGGTGGATCAACTTGATACTCGTAGTTTAAAATATTTCTCTTGTATACCATCGAAAAAATATTTAGAGGAGATTATCAGTATGGTGTCAAGATAAGTTAAAAATGTAGTAGTTATTATTATGAACTTATTTCCGATAAATGAAGTCAGCATCTTTTCTCACAGTGAAAATGATTTCGTTTATAGAGAGTGGCTAGTGAAAGTCTCGGTAGGGACGATTGATAAGTCTGTTATGAAATTCTGAATTGAAAGAACAGTATAAAGGGATAAACGACTGGGGGTTACCCTTTCTTTGAGCTTTAAACTTCGACGGATGCTGGTTTATTTACAGAAACCGTTTTAGCAGGAAGGAGCACGCTCGTGTCAGGTACCGATCGTAAGCACTCCGCGTCCGGCCCTATCCGCTTCGTTCCGTTCTGCCGCATATAGAACATCCGTTGCGGCAACTCGCATATGTGCAAGCTTCGTGCGCGAAGCATCCCAAGATTCTCATGCAATTTTGTCATGGTATGAAAGATTCAATTTCATGAATAACTTCTGCCTTACGTCCACGGCAGCTCCGAGGAAATATTATATTTATAAGGATCAGAAGTGGAAACACGCTTTTGAAATGCAGTTTGTTGCAAAAGATAATCCTGCATGCTCATATTAATTCTCTACCGGATATTGGATTTTAAAGACATAGTCGATTGTTTGATTGTAAATTCTGGTAGATAAATTAAAATCTGTAAAAATTAACTAAAATATAATTTAACTTTTATAATAGTAAAAACTCATTGTTAAAAATTTTGATGTTATCGGATAGATTAATCGTTTGACAGGATAATAGATCTCACAATCAGAAAAAAAGAGAAATAAAATTAAGTATTACAATGTTTCAAAACTAATCGATTTTTATCGAATGCATAGGCAGCATAAATACAGCTCGGATTAATGTGAACTCGAGTATTTACAACGTCTGCTGCATTGTTAAGATAGCGATGAAAACACATCTGTCTAAATTATATTAAGATATAAGATATATATTTTATTATCTATTGGAAAAAAGTCAATTGGTCCTAAAACATTTGACTTTTTTCTTTTCTTATCTCAGATTTATTATCTTACCAGGTTGATTAATTGGTACGATGACTTCAAAATTTTTTTGTTGTTAATTTTTGAAAAAATTAAGGGATGTCTGAAATTAGGGTTTGGAATTCTTAATATGAATACAAAAAGCTAATATCTTTTGCAACAAAATTCAAAGTACGCGGAGCCGCGTACTTACCTATTGAATTATAATATTACAGTAATATATTGCAATATTTCCTACAAAATATTAAATTACAATATTTCATAATTTGCTGCAACATTTCCAATAAAATATTAAAATTTCAATATTACAGCAATATTATTGCAATTTTTGTAATATTGCGTACTATTAAAATATTACTGCAATAATGCTGCAATATTTCGTGCTATAGGGGGTATACTGTAATCTCTGCGATATTTTTCGAGAATAATCGTTTGCCGAACTGTGACGGGTAAATGACCGCGTACGTTTCGAAAGACGTTATAAGTCGCTTTTACTGTAAACGGCTATTACCCGATAAGGATCGAACTGTGGAATTTGTCATTGACGAAAACAGCTTGCCTGTAACTTATAACTTGTCAGCAGCTATATCGACATAGAGGCATGGGTAATTGTTTAAATTTGCAGCAATTGAGCGATGTAGAATCTAACGCGTCTAACATCTACAGCGGTTAACGATTTAAAGGAAAGCAATCTAGAGCGAAGGAGCAAGACTTGAACTAACTCGGAAATAACTAGCTCAATATACGTAACTAAACGAAGAGATACACACACATATACGTAATGTCATAGCTGTTGCGTGACAATCGTTCGTGCGAACGTTTTACGAATCACCAATTTCGCTTGTCTGGCGGCGACATCTGCCTGGCAACCGCATCTTCCTCTCCGTTTGCTTCTTCAGCTTCATTTTTTATCGCTCCTCTCGTATGCAGACCCTTTAGACAGCTTCCCATCGAGTTGCATTAACGCCAATGTAAAGATATCTTATAGATATACGAGATGTTTATCGGTGGAATAATGAGATACCTGGATGAGTAGGACGAAATAACTATTTACGCGTTCGCTTTGTACGTTTCGATTTTGACGGATAGCTTAACGCTTGCTGACATAACAAGTGTTTACTATATTAATTTCTCTGTTGTATCCATTACAATTATTTTCTATACAAGTATTTCTACTTTTTAAAATTTCAATTATTTATCTTAAAATTTTGTTAAATTATTTATTATTTTTCACTATTTCCTTTTTTCTCTAAAAATTGTATCTGCGCGAATATAAAAAGCGCGCGTAGGATCGTTTTTCATTTTCCACCCAACCAAAGTTCCCACTCGTTTTCCGAATGACATTACGTAGGCAGATATAGAATCCGGCTCGCGTTGCACGCGCTTTATAATCGACATCGATTAACGCCGCGCCTTTCGGAAATTTAAATGATACGTATTAGATCGGTTAGAATATTAGGTAAAACCGGAGAGAAAGAAAAAATACCGCCTCGTCACGATTCTCAAGGCAGTATTTTACGCTGTTGAGCAGTCAAAGCGAAAGTATACTGTAGAAACATAAATCGTAACGAGTATAATGTGTTAAATCATATGTTTAGGAGGTAACTCTCTTTATTCTCAAGGTCGATCTACCGGCGTTACGAACCTTTTGAAAAACAGCAGAGCGTGTTTAACGAAGTATAACTGGTTTTTCGAGCCGGTATTCGTAACGCTTGCTACATCGATTAAATTATTGATCCGCGTTTGCGTTTCTTGGTTGTACATCCTTATGTCGCGTCGAAAAATTTCAATAAGAAATTTTTGTGTGGCGAAAACGGCTGAGAAATTTGCTCTGCATAGCTGCGACTCGGCATGAGAATGGCAACGAAAAGGGCGGAGAAATCGACATGACGTAACGGCCCGTATAAAGGCAATAGAAATAAATGACGTTAAATTGTTGGATGGTATGTTTTTAGCGGGTTCTACTGTCTGCATTTCGAAGACGAGATCAAGACGAAACTTGTGTATTTATACAGCGTCCAACGATAACTGTTTTAGAATTAGAAACATTTGCTTATATATACGTAAATTTTTATTTATTTTACTTTTCTTTTACTTCACTTTACAGTAAAAAAAAATGTGGATACTTTTCATATATGTATAAATTCTATTTGTGAGAGAAAAATTGTGTGATACTTTCGGTGCCAACAATATAATTTTGTGTATGTAACTATAAATATATAATTATTACTACTAACAATTATAGCATTAATAATTATAAAAATAAAGCTCCTAAACATAATTATTTTTGCTTGCCATGCAATTATAATCACAAGTACCAAACACTTCTCTCTTAGTATAACTTTCTAAAATAAGTTCGCGCGAAAGTATCGACCAAACTATCCTCTATAGAAAAATCTGCAAGAAGGGAGATTTGCAGAGCGAGCATACGGTTTGCGGTGCATTGATAAAAACATTGTTCGGCATAAGGGACGTACGCACCATATAGGCCATAGGCAGCTGCTTCACAACGGTCAATTCATGGGGTACAACAATAGGCGAGAATGGGTCGTCAAATCGATCCAGGTTTGCGTCCAAGATTCATTGCGTTTAAGATTCATTTGTAAAGTTTCTTATGACGGTTAACGTGGCGAAATTCATTCTGGAGTAATATATTCTGTTAAAGTCGATTTTTCTTTTAAAGGAAGATATATTTCCTCGTCTCATAAAATTGAATGTTTGCTTTTGAAGATCGATTTACATATCTTTGTGCTCTTGTTTACTATACTAACTATTCCAATACAAGATGAATCAATTCTGTCTGATTTATCCATTTTCTTTATGAATTGTTTCACGAATGTTTGTGGGACTAACTCAACATAATCGAGATTCCCAACACACAGGACTATCGCCCGATTCTCCGTGTATCTTGCATATCGGCAAGGTCACGACCTCCACCGAGAATCGTGACTGGATTGTACAGAGCTCTTCAGGTCGTTGCCATCATCACGCCGTCATGTTGCATTTATCATCCTGCCTATTTTATTTTTCGTAGTTTCCACGTATATTCCAAAAAGTAATATAATCATTTGTTTTAATAATCACAAAATAACAAATTGATTGTTCATTATTAATCATTTAAAAAAAAATGTTTTCCAGATACATTTAATAATAATGAAAGTATTCCTATATCAAAGAGATGACAGTTTAGAAGTGCTATCTATAAACAAAAGTCCGATTTAAGTTTCCTATACGCTTCAATGTGCATTCCGAGCACAGGACGTAAGACGGTATTCTATTTCACGCTATGTATGTCCGGCTCAGCTGTCAGTGTCGACCCGCACTCGCGAAAGGAATGCACATATCTCCTGTAGACTTTAGTTTTATGGATATCCAGCAAGAAGTATGTGTGAATCGAGAAAAATCGGTGAAAATTGATTCTGCCAAATTACACTCTTGTATTTTTTAATTCAACTGTTTTCCCTGAATATAAAGAAAGTTATGTATATCTAATGATAGCGCTGACCAGACGAATGCGTCCTTGGCCTATCCAACAATCAGAAATTTTTTATTCAAGACATGATGTCATGTGCACGAGAAACGGTGCGTACATTGCAATGAGCTGACGGCGCGCAAGAAACTTTCTGTTTCTGTACTGCACATATTCGGCATAAATGTATAGAAATTGTAAACTTACAGTCTTTATATACAATGGACATATATCAATGGATGTTATCGAGGATATATATTCCAGGCAAAAAGTTTGGAAATACTTTTTTTAAACATTGACATTTTTGGAATTACTTATTCAAATATTCATAACAATGTGTTTTTTTAACAATGTTCTTTAGATCCAATAATTGTTATCAGACCTGAAGAATTATTGTTAAAAAAACCCAACATTGTTATATTTAAGTAAGTAAAATTTTTTAAATATCCATTTTTGAAAGTATTTCCAAACTTTTGTCGTAGAATGTATATCCTCGATAACATCCATTAATTCTCGAGTTACAACTCAGTTAAATTGAAATGTTTGCAAAATTAAACAAAGAACAGTCTTTATTATCCATATTTTGAATGTTTAATCTGATAAAATTTGTATAAGTTTTAACATGAAACAACTTTAAAATTCTATGAAATAATTTTAGAACTATACTTTCGCTTAAAGTATTAAATTAATTCCTCGATTTAATTCCACATTTTTTTTAGAATATTATTTTCTCCCTGCAGTCCTACACTTTAAGACACAATACACAGAGCGACCTGTTTCTTTTTTGAATATCTAGTATTTCCTATACGTTTATGTTTCCTTCTTTCATTTTGATTTATGAATTTTTACGATCCTAATCGCTCGTATGGGGCCCACGCCACGGTAGAAAAGAATTTATCGTGGGACTCACCGACGCGATCTGGAAGGGTCCAGCCACGAATTCCAATCTCGCTAAATCGGTAAAGGCCCCTCCAGAGGTGGCACTCCGATTTTTTCAACGCGTCCACCAGGCGCTTGTGAATGATGCGAGGTAGGCTCCAGACCGGCGCTCGCGAACACTCATATTTTCTCCGCGCAAATGGAGTACACTCGCGAGATCAGTTCGTCCACCTTTTTGCTCCCTAAAAAGAAGTTTCTTTTTTCTTTTTTGTTTTTTTTTTCCCCAAGAAATTGACGTCAATTCGACAGACGCGGCGCGTCGCGTCGCGTTGCGTTGCGTCGCGTCACGTGCCGACTTACACTGTCGTGGCAACGAGTGCTCCGCCACTGTGTTCCATAGCAACATCACCGTGTGAAGGCGGGTCAGCTTAGCGATTGGCGTAAACGATCTTGGAAGGGAGAACGGAGGGGACTTTGTTCGGACAGAGAGAAACCTGAGAGCGATCATCCCGGTCTTTTTCGTGTAACGCTTATACCAGCGCACCAACGTACATTTTAGAGATATGGGAACTAGGTACCACGTCGATTTTGCGAAATTGTCGATAAAATCGTAATGTCGAAAATGGATGTGACATGCGTCTGTGCTAATAAGAATTGCCATTAACTTTTGAAATGTGTTATATACATAAATGTTAAAACGTACATTTAAAATTAAGTCTCGTCAATAACTTTGATTGAGTTAAGAAATATATACAGTTGATAAAAACAGCAATATTACATGGATGCTTCGTTACAAAGTATTAAGAACACACTATTATTCAATGTAAATACTGAAAATCTATACATAACATAAACTATAGATTTTCAATACTCGCAGTGAATAACAGAAGTCTATGATTTGCAATGGATATGGTGTATGTCCGGCTAAGAGCCTCTTTCATCAATTTCTGGTTAAATTAATCGACAATCGACTCGTAAAAGTTCCAACAGCCTTTTAATATATCAGAATATTTCCTCTCTTTTTCTCTTCTAAGATAAATGGTTTAATTCTAACAATCGCGATGATTGAGTTGACCCTCAATTAGCGTTAATCGGAGTTGGTGAAAGAGACTTTAATAAGAGTTGCCAAGATTGGTTCTTATTAACACCGACATACATCACATCTATTTTCAACACTATGATTTTATCGACAGTTTCATAAAATAGCCATGATAGATAGTTTCCATATTACAAAAATGGACATTGGTACACTGAGATAAACGAAAAAGGTTTGCTAGTATGACCACTCTCAGATTTCTCTCTATAGTTTGAATGATAGCAACGTCGGTGACGCATCGTTTAGTTCGAAGCTTGGCGGGATAAACATGTACAATTTCGTCACTCCAAGGAACTGAACACGATAGGATTACCAATATAAATACGTTTATTTTTAGAATTTCTAACATCAGTCTTTCAACCCCATTTACTAAAATTACAGTCCATCATTCTTTCTGCCGTATCAGACCGCAAAGAAGGTGGTAAATAAGGATAATTGATTAATTTTGACGGTGTATTCCACACCAAATGATTAAGATCCTCGGTGCCGCTCGAGTCGATCACATTCTCAAAATATTCCTTGATAATATCTTCTGAATTTGGCCAGCCATCCTTAGGTTGAGCTGTTGAGACTTTGGAGTTTTTCATCGCAACTAGAAATAAAAATTTATCTACTGAAGGTTAATGTTTTATGTAGCAATGATAAGATAATAGTCGATAGAATAGAGTAATTAAGGTCTAGCCAAACAAACTTGCATAATTGCATGACTATATGCATAATTGCATGATCATATGCATAAAGAAAATTACCCAATTGCATTTCTGTCATAAGAATGCATGTAAAATACAATTTGATAATTTTCTTTGTGTATAATTGTATATATTTAGGCGATTATGCAAGTTTGTCTGGATAGACTTTTACCGAGCTGTTGAAGTTCCCATATCATTGGTGGTGTGTAATGCGAAAATCGACAACCAGGACCAAATGCACAGTCTCCAATGATCATATAGTGTTTACATGGAGTTTTGCAGTATTCCTCCTTTAATATCGTTTCTGGATCTAAAGATGTTAATAATAAATTTATGTGCATTATAATCTGATTAACCCTTACCCGTACAAGGTACAATTTACCTCATCCGTACAAACATGGGTCACTAGAACCGTTCGTTTATTCATCTATTCAGAATGATTTAAAAAATTTCTAAAAATTCACCAACATACTTTCAACTTTCTAGAATAAATATTGAAACTTTATTTTGAAAAATAATAAAATGTAGTATAATTTATAATTACCGAAAAACTCATAAGTTGAGAAAAAATAGCATTCGATTTAAAAAATTATAACTTTTCATAATAAATGAATATAAAAAAATGATTCCAAGATTTTGTAATTTAGATATGAAGTTTTGAAAAAAAAAAAAAAAAAAAATAGTAGAACTTCAAATTCTACAAAAAGTTGAAATATTGATTTGAGCACATGAATATGAGTAATTTTCAACAAGAAACATATAGGAAAAATCGAGTTAAAATATGCATTTTTTTATTTTGTTGTAAAATAATGTATTTTTTAATAAAACAAATATAAAATGTAAATACACATTTAAATAAATATGTAAAGAAAAACTTTACATTTTACAGTCTAGACATACGTAAGTATGATGCTCACAAATCGGCTTTCCGCACATAAAACATTTTTTTCTGTCAGGTTTTTCTGTCAGCTGTGCTCTTGCAATAATATCGTTTTCTTGTTTCAAGTTTATGTTTTCTTTCTTCTGGTCGCGGTTCTTCTATTTATAAAATAGCGCAAATAGAATTCTAATCGTTTTTGAATGTTCGCGTGCTGTAATCTATTTTGCATGTACGGACCTGTTGCATAATTGCCAAGTCTTCTATAAAATTATATCTTTCCATTATTTCTATCATTCAGATTATATAAAATATTGCAACTAACTCCAGTTTGTGCTTCACTATAATCTTCAGCAATTCATTCGGAAACAACAAACTCCAGATCTCTAATGGCGTTCTCATTTCTCTCGCTTCTTGTTTACATTCAGGTAAATGTGTAGTAATTGACTTCCTCTCGATTCAGGCGCTTTCGTAAGCCACTTGTAGTTATCTTTTCCATAAAGATACCCAGATAGCAAAATATCGGCAGTCTGCCATCAACTGCGTCCACATTAGGCTTGTGTTTTGTTAACATCGCCTTTAACATAATGTGAAGGCAAATTGTTGGCAGAAACTGAGCAGATCTTGCCGATATTATCTGATTCTGTTATGTTTTTTTCTAGCAGTCTGTCAACAGTATTATGTACATCTAATTCTGTAACAATTCTGTTGCTATTTTGTTGGCATAGCGTATAGCAGACATTTAAAAAATCTGCTTTCTACAGACTTGGTTATCTGGGTACTGTCTCGAACCTCTGTTAGTAGATGATTGTTGTTGCTCTACTTCTTCCTGAGCACCTTCAGAGCTTTCTTCGGACTGCATTCATAGTCGTCATCGTAGTCAATCCTCTTCGCTTTCGACTTCGTTTTCTGATAATACGAAGTTTTTATTGCTGTCAGTGTCTTCTCTAAAAATGTCACCTTCGCTGTCTCGTAAAATGGCGTGACTCGTTTCTTCAGCTCTATCCATTTTGTCTAAAAAGTAATTCTTTTAGAAAAAAATTTTTTTAATGAAAACAAACATTCAGACATTAATTTAGAGTAAAAGTAGAATACTTATAATGATTTTGACACAATTTTTATTTTTCACAAAAAGCACTCTTTGTGTACTGACATAGGTCATTAGCGTCTCACGTCAACTTAAACTGTACGCGGGGATTTCCCCCACCATAAACTTTTTTTTACAGAAAAATAACAAGCGCTGGATTCATCGAGCTGGCAAGAAACTTGCACAAACAGGAATCGCTCGGTCACTAGTGACCCAACCTTGTACAGTAAGGGTTAATTATATGCAAGTATAAGAGAGGTTATATAAAATACAATGGCATTAAACAAAGAAGCAAATAAGAAAAATATTGTGTTTAACGTTCACCTTTAAATGTGCTGTAATGACTCGCTCGATTTGTCATGTGCTGCATACTGGATAAATGCTTTTTACGAGCTTCGACATCATCCTTGAAAGATCTGTCACAATAGTCGCAATAGTATGTCTTGCCCATGACGTATACGATTATCTTGTAGGAAGAATACAAATTCTATCAATAGTTACATTGTATTGCACGACAATGGAATAAATACACTCAGCAATAGTATTGAATAGTATTGTATTTAAGTATGAATCATCCTACTCAAAAGATATAGAACAAAACAAAGCAAGATCATATAAAATAACTAGAGCAGTGAGTTTATTCGCGTTGCTTAAAATCCCTAAAAATATTTGTACTTAAAACGAGATAAATATATATTCTAGCATTGGAAAAAGAGAGAAAGCGAAGATTCTGAGTACAAAAAGCAATACGAACAGACCTCTAAGAGTAAGGGTCAATCATGTTATTTTTTCCCCTAGAACGGAAACATTAAAAGTTAAAATTTTTTTTATATATGGGTGCATGTGTATATGTATGTATATATATATAAATTTTCACTTTTCATGTTTCCATATCAGCGAAAAAATTCCATGATCCCCCTAATGTTGTTAAGCAAGCCGCTTTTTTCGTGCATGCGCATTATAGTACTAGGAAGATTTAGTAACGTATATAAGTGTAAAAGATAAAATATTTATAATTTTGGCGATATTTTGCAGCAGAAACAAAGGAACCTAGGAATCCTAGGCTAGAATAAAAAAGTATAAATTATTTTATTTAATTTTATAATTTTTTTATTGATTTTCTAAAAATTTTTATATTATAATTTTTATAGAACGTCGAAACAGTTCCTACAAGATCCGTATAATTTCGAATTTAATACTGCAGTGGTACTATATATGTATATATTTGAACGCTCATGCGCGAAAAAGATGGCTCGCCTATAAAGCCTTGCGTCCACGATGCTATATAGAAATCAGTCTAAAATCTTGGATGAAGAAAAAATTGACTAGTTATATTGGTTTTGTAACCGAATTATTCAAATGTGATTTGTTAATTCTTTCAAGATCTGGATGCAATTTCTAACATTGTAGACACAAGATAACAATCTGTACTAGAGACCCAAGATACTACCATAACGACATCTAACAATGAGAGTGTTATACTAACCGCAACTTATTTTTAAGTACACATCAGGTAAGAAAAATGCATATTTTTTTCATGCATTTAGAGTTAAAAATCTTAATTTAATTATTTAATATTATATGAAAATGTTATTTGCTAATATAAACTTTGAAAAATTGAGGATGTCATTAATTGCGATTTTAATAAAAAGATTTATATATCTATCGAAGAATCCAAACTGACATTAAACAATTTTTAAAAATTCGTGTTGATAAACAAATGAATTAATTATATAACATTAAACACATCCCAATAAACATCAACTAACAGTAACATATCAATTTCACACTCAACAATATAAACGTAATATATAACACATGTGATATGTAACATTATCTTGCCGAGAGAGTAGTTATACATGTTATTATTAGTTGATGATTACTAGGATAAAGCTACTAGCAATTATATTTTTTTATAAAGGAAAGATAAATTATTGCTATTACATAAATCATTATTGGACATTGTAATGAGATCTTTGGCAAATAACTATATTCGTTATTACGTTATCGAATTTGGATTAAGTCCAATTGATTGAGTTTCCTGATATTTAGATTTTAGTTCGTACATTTAGTAGGTATGTATTTTAAATAAACGGATTATATTGTAATGTACCGTTCGTTTTAGCGCGGTACGATCGTTTTATTATATTCTTACAATATATTTTACCACAACTTGTTCTTGTGCACCGCTAAACTATTCATACGTGGTAAAGTAACGTATCGACAAGAATGTCTATTATCCATCGCAACGTTCCTCTTTCTATACATTAATTCAATACAATAAATATTCTTCATTCACAATATTCACTCCGACGTAAATTAGACGACGTTACTCGATGATAGATCATTTTCGACGATACCAAAGCTTCGCTTTAATTTTCTACAAGCGACAATAGATAACCTATAGGTAATGCGTAATCGCGTGATTCAAGACAATATTTGTTTATAAATTCGAAATTGGTAAATAAAAAATCGTGGATGTAACTACGAGAATGGAAATCGGAAATATATCCACGAGAATTTTTGCGGGAAATTAGTCGCTATCGCGAGTTCGAGATTTAATCTTAGAAGCTAAAAGTTAATGATGACCGGATATAGGATATAGGAATCGGGAATTGAAATCAAATATTGAATATCGGAAATTCAGACATGCTGTTCGATCTCTGTTTTTATATGCTTGAATATTGAACAATAGCTGCACGTACCATTGCAATCAATATCAATCGCGCAAGAATATCGCGTAAAATAGTATACATTATATTTGAGGAAATTTCAGTATTACCACGATACGTTTACTTATATTTACTTGTACAATGACTAAATTTGCGGAATTTTGTTACAATAAATACGTGTAATTATTGCTCATAGTCAGCGTTAAACGTGTAATACAGGAATGTCGCGTAATATTATTTAATACGTAATTCGTCAGCATCTTCAGCAAAATTGGTATAAATATCGGTATAAATTACAAATGTAAAGTAGAAAAACACGTGGACGAACGTGAAAATAATAATTTCGCAGTACCCTGCTTTGTGGACGAATAAAGCTAGCATTGAAGAATAAACAATTATTTGAGTAGTTTAGTTGCTGCTTCGCTGCTTCGTATTATGCACCTTGAATTGCTTACTGATCGATCGTTGCTATGATCACACGCAAGAAGTGATTGATAGCATACACAAATGAATCTTTTTAGGCCTGATAAAATGAATTTTCATTTCAAGGATACATTGATACGTTAATTTATATATGAAAAATGGACTAGATTGCAACAAAGTTGGAGGTAGCTGTCGATATTTGGGAAAAATTGACTATATTACATTAAAGAAGAAAACTAAAAAATTATAGCAGAATTTTAACTTTGGTATAAGAAGGTTTTGAGCAAGTAAACTCAAAATTATATTATTAAAAAACCAGACTCGCGCATTATCTTAACGAGATTCTTTAACTTTTTAAGCAACTATAAGGTCTATATATATATATTACGCACGCTTTTAATCGATGCAGTAGAACCTCGATTAATGATTACTTTATAATTGCTTCATTATTGACAATAGACCGATGAGTCGTACATTCATTTTTAACTACATTATTTTAAATGCCTTCTGCACAATAATATGTGCAAAGCATCTGAATAGATCATTTACGTGAAATAAATATCGGAAAAATTTTAATAAGAAATATTACAGATTAATATCAATAATATTTTTAATATATCCGCAAGTTTTATTTTGAAGCACTAATATGCAAATTTCTGCGTCAAATAGAGGTTCTACTGCATTAATAACATAAAATACTATAATAATAAAATACAATATTTTTTGTGTCCAAAAGTTTGTAAAATTATTTGAAAGTTTGGAATGTTTTCTTTCTTAATTCTTTTTATATATAATTATAATATTATAGGAAAGATGTTTCTAAATTTATAGTCCCTCTAAGTATAATAAGTTGAATAGTATGATGGGATTAATCATCAGTTTATTTTGCATTTAGATCAATACTTTTTTCCAAACTCTCAAAGGAGAAGCAATCCTACACATTTTTACACTTTCCACATTTAAAATGAAACAGACATATACGTATGTATATGTATATACATACATACACACACAAAATATATATATACATACACATATAATATATATATATATGTAAACTTTTTATAAGAAGGGAAAGAAAGTGAAAGAGAAAAATAAAAAAAGAAATTGTAGGAAAATGTAAAAAGTGCAGTCAAGAAATATACTTTTAGTTATCACATTCCATTTCAATAATAAGTTAGGAATACAAAATAAAACCGTGCTTTAAATATTTGTGTGTCATGATAAAAAAATATTCGAAAAACAGACTTTCATCGTTAGTTTTAGAATTGGAAACGCTACAACCATACCGTTTATTTTACATAGATACAGGAACTTATAAAAGTTAACATGCATATATTGATATCGGTACATCTTAATGCTCCGTTTATCATGCGTAGGACGTTAAAGTTATATTCTATCGCGTTCGTCGCGTTCCACTTAACATACCTACCAGATATGAGGATTTTGCATATTTGTTATTCTGTTGTTGTAGATCACAATTTATGTTGAGTATTATATCGGATAATTATATAGGGGACTATCTGTTCTCTGTTTCCCCTATATCATCTTCTTTTTGGTGTTTTACATAGAAGGTATTGTTATCATGTTGAAAAGTCTTTTGAAAAGTCTTGAAAAATCTGCCTATATGTATATCCCTCCGTTCATGTATGGCAGTAATAACTCATAAAAAATGTAAGTGTAAATCGATATGAGGATAGTTTAAGAATGTGGTCATGTAGCGAATTGTGTGAAATGTACTCAAAATCGATTTATAGGAGTCAAGGAACAATCTTGTTTTATTTACCATTATAGTCCTTCTTTACACAATGTAACTTTGTTCCAGAAAACTTTTTTATATATTCACAAATAATAGAAATATGTATTTAAATGTTCCCACATTTGTATGCCTCAGCCTGTAAATATCTCGTTTGAAAGATCCTCATTTTAGCCAAAGTAGAAAGCGCTTAAATCTCACTGGTCCCGGGCAAAGGCTGGATTAATTGTTAACGTAAAATAAACGGTATCGTTGTTCACAACTAGCGGCCCGAAGTAAACTAATAGTCAAATTCGTTCGGCTTGTCTGGAATGCCTCGTATATATTTTACGCGCATAATTTACTAATTTATAGATGCTACATTATAAGGTACAAGAAATAGGGGATGGCGTTCGAAACCTGTTAAGAATGGCACTGACTGTAATAAGTAATATTCTATCTCCCGGCATCCCTGCATTTGAGTAAGCGTCTTATTTTTTAGAGTCGTCGGCAGTAGAATGGATGTTGACCTCTTGACGGACCTTGTGACCGCGGAAACTTGCTTGAATCTTAGTCGCTGCCTTATGCAAGTCTGGATCGGCCAAGTCGATCCCCTCTAATTCGTGGACAGCGTCTTGCATCTGCAGCAGAATTTGACAAAAGAACGTAAAACGTAGAACGCTATAGCCTTTCGTTAATTTAAGGCAATTTTTTCATCCTCGGATACGGCTCCCCGAACTCGAACTTATT